AAGGCTGGTTCTAAGAGTGGATAAAGGGACTAGGAAACAAGAACGTTTTTGCGTTAGCTAGGAAATTCTGTTGACGCTCTTGAGGTTAATATGAACTTGTGCATACAAACGGCTAGTTACAGGCAATACTTGCTTATGACATCATTTGCAGAATTGTTTATAAAGAGCAGTTGAAAAAACTGCACGGTTGTCTAGTAGGCGGCCTTAAAAATACACGGAATGAGATTGAATTCACTACGAATTGAATTCACTGGAAACTTGTTCTGTATCTTTAGAGTGGCTTCTTTTCAATGGCATGAACAAATGCGCGTTAGTTTGGGGTTTAATGCTGCGCTCTTCAGTTGATTGGATAAAACGATAGTGATTGACGTCCCACCCTCGACCAATCATTATTAAGACTAAAACCATCCTTGTTTTGCCGCTTTCACGGTTGTCTTTATTCTTCTGTTGTGGTTCTTCGGTTTTTTGTGCATCGTTTGCGAAAATAACAGATAGTAAGAACGTTCACAGCTTTTTGAAATTACCTTTCTATGGCATTGTTTGTTTTAAAATATTTCACAGGATGAAAACTTGTACAAATACCGTTGTTTAAATGTATAGTTGGATTGCAAGGTCAATAACAAGTTACACGTTGTTTAAGGGCTCTTGACAAGATAAATTACCCGTTTAAAAAGATAAAATACAAGTGCTGAATAAGATACCTCAAACTTTGATAGAGGATACCGGTTAGCGGAATACAACATTTGTTTACAAACTCGGTGGGAGGTCCTGAATTGTCCACTTACACGAAATGGGAAGTGTGTGAAATGAAGACAGAGCCAGGGGGAGGAGCGGGTGGAAAATGCATGCTTTAATTAAAACGGGACAGTGAAAGGTTAAAGGAAGGAATGAGAGGGTGTCAAAACATGTATATCTTAATTCAAAAATTTTAGGGTCGGTTATTCAAACAAAGTCTAACTTAGGCCACCGTTAAAGAAATCACTGGACCTCCAAATGTCTTTCCCAGTGGGTTAGTTTAACAAAATAAGTGCTTCTCCAGTCTACGCTATATGCTTTATTGAAATTGTTCACGATAAATGGTGTTTAGATAAAGTGTTGGCCAACCTGAAATTGGCTTAGAACGCGGTTTTGCTAAACAGGGCTAAACTCCGTTTAAATAACCGGGCCCCTTGTGTTTTTGGTCTGTTATTTTCTACAGCTAAGAGGAGGTCCTTGTACCTCATCCATATACCATCACTGATACTGTTTGGGTAAAACTTTTGAATGCAATACCAAGCTTTTATAGCCAGTTTTCTCAGTATTTTTTTAGCTAGTATTTTAAAATCGAGCTTGCGACAAAGCAATCTTTTATGCTCTTCGTACACTGACCAAAAAATATGGACAAGAAGTGTAGCTACTCAATAATTCTATCCAATTGGTACCAGGAAGTCATTAGGAAATCGTGCAAAAAACTGGGGGGTCGTGACCGACGCTTATCAATGCTTGCCCAGAGGGAGGGGGTAGGGGGCAGTAACACCTTATTATAAGTATTCGTATATCGCGGCTTTCTACAGATTCTCGTGAAAAATTCTACTAATTCCAACATAGTAATTCCAAAACTGTTAAGAGATTAAGTGATGCTTAATTGCTTGATTTAATAGCTACGTTTTAAAGGGTAGACAAACAAGAATCACTTCAAAAAATACCACATACTCTGGCTTCATTTCCAGCGGTGTAAACTAATGAGTCTGGCTGTTGAATTATTAATGAAAAGCTTCTTTGTCAATATGAAGCAAATCCAACATGAACACATATTTTTAGGCCATGGAGCGTTCAGAGATCTTTCTAGAAAGAGTCACAGATCACAAACAGTACAGAAAAAGAAAAGTTATTTTCGACGGCATCAATACAGCTGGGTGTTTCAAGTACTAAACGGTACTTGAAATGAGTGGCCCTTAATTTCATGCGTGAGGATACCCAAGTTCAAATGCACAAAAATGAAGCCCAATACAAAGGAAACGACCCTGCAGACTTTGTGTGAAAAAAGCTATCACCAGTGATTAAGTTTGGATTTTGTTGAGATCTCAACTTGTCCTTGGCACGAAACGAACGCCATCTATATAGACGCATATATCGCCCGGATTGTATTCAAATCTAGTTACACGGTCCCAGTTTTATTTCATACGAGCTCATGTGAAGTGTGTCTAGTTTTTGAAGAATTTTTGAATCATTTTTGTATAGTTTGATTCGAACCTAATCAAGTTAAAAACAGGAGCAGCTGAGTGTTTAGGATTTGATGTAAAAAAACACGAACAATTAGCTTAATGACCACCTTCAAAAACTGATTTATTAGAGTTTGGGTTATTTTGGCTAAGAGAAGACGTTAAGTTAAGCCGTGTGTATGATATCAGATATAAAGACACTAATTAAACATTAATTTCCTTTGTATTTTCTTTATAAATTGTTATTTACGAGTTTTCTTTTTCTTAATCCAATAGTCAACCTCTTGAGTAGTTTTCATGACGCCTGCTTCTTAGGATTTTACAAGTAAACTTGACAAATCCTGAAATCATAAACTTCTCAAGTTCTAGGAACTAAAAATTACAGTTAAAGACTATCATGTACTAGACTACTGATCTGCATAATAGGCAATTTCAATACGGAAGTACTCCCCAAAAAGTGTTCTTTGAATTTGAGTTTCGAGAATAGGTGTGTTCCATAAAGTTTCAACCTTAGAACTGCCTACAAGCACAATGTGATTAAAAACGGATCAATTTAGGTATCGGGGAAACTGCACACCTACCCCTCCCCTAAGCCAACATTATCGCTTACTTCTCTCATAGGGCAAAATGTTGGCTTAGGGGAGGGGTAGGTGGGAAGTTTCCCAGAAACCTACATACACTGATGCAGCTTTAATTCGGCTTCCGTGTCTTCAAGGTGTTCTACCAGATGATGTAGTAGAAGATGGCGAACTTTCTAGCAACTATCAAGAACCTTACTAATTAAATAAAACACCATATCAGAAGCCGGAAAAATTATATGAGTACCAGGTCAACTTTATAATAATCATAGCAGGTGTCTAAGTTTGAGAGTTGAAGGAAGAGACCCAATACATAGAAACAGAACCACGGAAACGTTTTGTACAGTGCCTTTTATTGGAGTAATCGCACTACAGAAATCTATCGACGGTCGTTAACGCTAACACGACTTTGATACCCAACAAATGGTAACTGCTACGAGGAAATACTTTTCGATAGTTTCAGAAACGTGTAACAATACTCAAGATATTATAGGTTCTAAACTGATAGAGATAACTGAGGTCGACGAACTTTCTAGAAACGTAGATCTGGAAGGCGAGCTTTTGTAACCATAAATGGACATCAGAATATACCCGGTGAAGTACCAAGGGCCTTTTCAACAATCTTGAGAGCTGGAATAACTTTGTTAGTGTGAGATTGATTGCACAGCGGGAGTCTAAAAGACATGAGCGGTATATTGGCTCGAGGAGTATTTTGACACAGTTTACAGATTGGTAAAAATTTGATTACAACAAAGCAACATTAAGAAAATCAAGAAACAAGAGATTTAAGTGTTTAGGGTCTCGCCAGCTTTCTTAACTGTTTTATAAGACGGCGTTGTTTAGAGGTTGTAATGAATCAGGGTAAATATGATCCTAAACGGACAGCTTTTTAACACTGAATTCACTCAGTAATCCTTGCGTGCATTGTTGTTTACAAAAAACAACAGACGGAAGAAGAAAAACTTTGGAGCATCAGATGAAGTGGGAAATAACCAGGGATTCAATTTTTAAAGAAGCTAAAATTCAGCCTAGGGTATTCTAGACGGATTCCAAGGATACACCCCGGAAAACTAGAAGTCCTATTCTTTGCTCTTCCTTTAGAAAGAAGTGATAGTCTTCAATCTCTCTAACAATTAAGGCATTGAAAAGAATCAGTGCTCAAGATAAACGCGAGTTTCATAGCTATGCCTGCTTAACGCAGCAATTTTCTTTTAAAATATTATACGAAGTGACAATTAATGAGAGTACGAGTCCTTGTGGTTCTAATATTTCACAAAAAACGTTTTGCGATTCGTACTGACCGTTTCTGGAAATTGTACGCTGAAAAATAATTAAAAATACTTTTGTGGTTTTCTAAAAAAAGTCAAATCCGCGTTTTTGGTTTCTTACCATAACGCATAACTCCGGAAAGGCACTAAACTTTAGCTAAGCAAATAAGTGTTTAAAAGCTTCTAGCCAAATTTTGGGGTGTTAATATAAATAATATGCCTCGAAATGCCGTGTTATTACCTTTCCACATGACTTGTCACTGTTTGGCCAGTGTTTTATACAGATCAAATACGTGACTTTACATCTCTAGTGGGTTTGTGATAACGATATTGAACTGGTGTATGTATAGTTTTGTAGAAGTTCGTGAGAACTCAAATAATTTCAGAACAAAATGTCTCTAATCCTTGTTTCCGAGACGACTTTCGCACGTCCGTTTGCGTCTGTCACTTAAAGAGAAAGTTGATTTGCAATTGGGCAGTTAATCCCGTCGTTAACACTACGTTATAATGTATTTAATGTTTGCAGGGCGCGCGTTCTTTCTTGTGCAACATCACGCAAAAAAATGTTATAGAATTGGATTTAAAAGGATTTATTCAAGTTAGAAAAAATTAAAAATTGTGAGGTTTTGGGGACAAACGCTAGAGGATAAAAGGAAATTTCTAAAGGGATCGGAAATGGGCGTCTCCAACCCATAAGTACTTAAATATGCTTCGGATTATTCAATTTGTTCATAAAGCTTAAGGAAGCTTCCAGGTTTTCTACTATATTTTACAAGTTCATATTCTAAAACTTGGCGCGACCTTTTGCAATTTATTCACATTCCAAAAGTAGGGTCAGGGATGGAAATTAGATTTGACTTACACGCGATTCTTTGCGTGTCATAAGGCCAGATATCTGCCCGTTGTTTTGAACAATAAAAGAGCTGAAAAGAAATATATCAGCCCATAAGCAACTTACATCCATCGATTTCAAAGTCCAAACAATGCAGTACGGTTTCAATTTAGTTTCTGTCGGAAAGAGGAACGTCCTGTGCCCGGTCTGAGCTACTTTGGTTACACAACGCATTTCTGACGGGTGAAATTTCCGAAAAGCGTCCTTTTTCTACAAGGTAGGGAAAGAGGTGTTGATCTACTTGGCTAAAGAAGTTCTACTCTTTTCAAACTTATTATCAGAGTCTAATTTGAACATGTACCGAAGATCTAATATAACCTTTGATGCATGTGAGTAAAATCATACAGTGCCGAGACTATAATGAAGAGAAAATGAAGAAGTTCTACTTTAATCACTTTTAATTTGCGTTGCCACAATTTTCCAACAGAAAGTATAGTTTTCCAACTTTTTTTCTTAATCTCTTTAAAAACAGACGAATTTTGGAGTCCTTTGAAGGTAGTAATCATACATGGTTATTGAGGTGTACAGGGTAGTTTTAACTATTACTTCTGGGGGCAGAGGGTGAAATGTTTCAAGAGACAAATCAAATAATGATAAGCTACAGAACAGCTAGTGTGATTTTTCAAGGACCAAAGAGTTATAAGGAACTTTTCGAGTAATCTTTGAGTTAAGGGATGAAAAAGAGAGGATGAAAGATAGAAGAAGAAAATTTTCAAGCAGACCTTTCTTGTGGAAGGTGGTCATAACTTTTGAGTCTACGTAGAAAATCGTTAGTGTGGCCATTCAAAAGAAAGCAACTGGGCAGTACTACGGCTTTCCTGTGGTTCTCAGTGTTTATTATGCTGTACAAGGTGGTTCTAGGTTTTGTGTCTGTAAATGAAATCCAATAAGCTTTACCATTCAAAAGACAGCTTTTGACAAATGTTCCTGCAGCACTATTTATTACGCAATACAAGGTCAGCGGAGTCTGTAAAGTAACCATTCAAATATAAACTACCTAGAAGCAGCACTTATCTGAAGTGCTGCTGTAAAGGTCCGTATTTCATTCATGAAGATGAAATACTGAAGTGCTCGGACTGTTCGACTTAAACCTCGTTTATTAAGCACAGATTTTTAATGTAACATTTTACCGATTCGTTACTGCATGCTCAATAAAAGTAACTAAGTAACACACCCACTCAGGAACATTATACGATCTGTAAAAACCGATAAAATAGTCGCCAGCGAATTGAAGATTTTGTGCCCTAACTAAGCAATTCAGACAGAGATGTAACAATATGCTACAAACATCCGCTAACTCTATAGTCTTGAAACTAATGTGTCGGTTAGTGAGTAATCAGATACTATATCGAAGATAATTTCATTTAATGCAGACATCAATAGTATTAAACATAAACCGTGATTATGAAATGGCACAAATCTGGGTTAACCAGGGGCCGATTACCCGGGCTCATGAACGCCAATTGCTCTATCGTATTAAATTGTGAAAGGTCATAACGTCACCTGTAGAAACTTTAGTCAGGAAAACATGGAGACCGACAGCCAATTCTGCTCACTAATACCGATATTTTTGAAATCCTGTTCTTTAATAGATTTGGACTATCCTTCATAAAAAAGAAAAAACGCAACAACAAAGTAAAAAACTTCAATTTCAGTTATGAGTAAGACATACAACGTATGACTTCTACTTGGAGCACAAACACTAAGAAAAACGAAACTGAATTTATTAATTACTTATTTCATATCGTAGCTTCTTTCATTGAAAAAAAAGGAATATTATAGTCTTTCAGATCAGAATCGCTGGTGATAATGGGGCCTTTAACAGCTCAAGTTCATTGATAACGACACAGTCTGTTCAGCAATTCCTTTATTTCCTAAGTGCCCATTAAAAAAACATATACTGTATTTTATCAGACTCAAGTGAATTAGTAAAATCTCATAATCAAAAACTATATGCACTACTGTAGTTATAAATATACTGTTTTCAAAAGAGATGTGAAATGCCGATCATTTTTTGGACTTTTATAAGGTAACATTGCCCTCTATTTCTCCCGTTCTGAGAATGGTTTTTTTTAAAATTCAGTCAGAGACAGATAAGACCAGGAAAAATATTCTAGTTCGCCCAAAAGGAGTTTGAACCTACATGACCTCTGGTTAGCTAGTAGTCTAGATTCTCTACCAGCGAGCTACAAGAGACGCGTAGGAGTTAAGGCCATTAAACTAGGTTAATGTGACAAACATCCTTTGTACTGCTAATGCTACGACGGGAGTGTTAACAGATGGCCTTTAGCAGCGATAATCATAAAAAAAATGAGATCGTGGAGTTCAGTAGGCCTGCCGAATAAATGAGAATAATTATTTTTTGCGTCAAATGACACAGGATTATCGGGAAAAAACCGATTTTTTCCAACAGGAGTCAGTGGACTAAACGATTCTCCTATGTTTTGTACGGTGTCACTGAGATAAAGATCGTGAGAAAAAAGGAAATGATTATCAGTGCTCAGATAAGTCTTTCAATTGGGTCGTTACATTAACCTGGCTCTTGAAATAAACGCAGTGACCACCCGAGTTAGCAAGATGGGTGGTCCTTTAACGTTAGAATCGAGCACGAGAGCATAAAATCACACACAAGAAAAAAATGCTCTGTAAGATTATGCAATGTTGTCATTCGTGTTGAAAGGGGATATGTCGCGCTATTTGCTATCTTTTTTTAAAAAAAGCGCAAACTTTTCTCGCATCAAATGGATTTCAGAAACAATGGTCCAGTTTTGTTATTTAAGACTATATTTAAGCATTGAAACTGTTTCCTTTCGTCTGACGCAACGGATGGCAAGGATGGACATGGATTAAAGGTCGAAAAAGTTGGGCCAACCTTTTCAAGTTCTAATGCAATGCCTGCAAAACTCACCAAAAACATTGTTATGGTTAGTGATTGCCTATGAAATCTGTCTGATATCTTCTTCACAACTCCACAAGAGCATTTTGTGTATGGGTAAAGGCACTAAGCAAAAACTACCTACCCCTCCCCTAAGCCCACATTTTGCCCTAAGTAAGAACTAAGTGTTAATCTTGGTTTAGGGGAGGGGTAGGTGGGCAGTTTTCCAGAAACGTAAAATGATCCCAGAATTGACCTGAAATAGCAGTATCTTCCTGACAGAGCCTCTTTAACACTTTCATTCCCAGAATGAATATTTAACACTTATTGAACGAAGTTGAGCAAAATATCGTGATTTGTCAGTGGCGAGCAGATCAATTATCTGCCGAAGCCGAAGGCTGAGGCAAATAATTAATCTGCAAGACACTGAAAAATCACGGTTTTTCGCGATAACCGAGTTCAATAATTGTTTTATCATTCGATGACCGAGTCTTTTAATTTTTTTAATTATTTGAGAAAAGAACTGCCATTTTAACGCAAGAGCAATGGCAAGAAGGAAAAAAGCGTTGTTTCATTTACGTATGAGCGAACATGCAGTTAAACACAGTTGGACGACATTGCGCATGAGCAGACCATCATTTGTAGGTAGTTATTTGTAGCTCACATGTTGGCCTCTCGTCCAATGAAAAGGAAGAAAAATTTGCATGGAATGATGAGTGTTGTGAGGTGGTTCTAACTTTTGAGACTGTTGACCAAAACGTTTGTTGCGACCATTCAAATGAAACCTCTTTGGTAGTACCTTCACAAGGTGCTACTTGTTTTTCAGCATTTTGCGAAAGAAAATTTAGAAATTTTGATGAATGAAATGACTTTGGCCACTTCTGCGAGTGGATTTTATTCCTTTTTGGAAAGTTAAAGATTAAATTGCCATATTAGCTCGCTAGAGGCAATTATATCAATCAAAGATTAAAGCCGATCATCCGTACTGACAACAAGGATGCCTCACTCTCTAGTAATTTCACGCTGAAACAAGATTTCACTAAGAGAGGAACCAAACTAACCTACAACTGACATGGGAGGACGAGGAGTTTTCTCTTTTTGGAATTGAGTAACGAAACAGAGCAGAGAGATGCTACAATTGCCTGAACAATCAACAGGAAGCGCTAATCTACAACCTTTTTCTGGAACTGAAAAGTTCAGAAGAGACTGACAAGCACAATGTTCCGATAAAGTTAATCTATTCATAAGCTTTGGAACAAAGGCTCTTTGTACTGAAAACTCCCAAAGATCAATATTCACACCTAACCACAACAGATTTCAGGAAACGCGAAATGTAGGTGGATCTAGGTTTTATTTAAAAGGGTCAAATTCTCCCACGTAATACGTCTGGCTGCTTTCGTAACTAAAATAGCTCTTTACACTTAAAGCTTGCCTTCAACTGTTATTTTGTTGTATAACTAATAATCCAAGTTTGAGTTTGACATTGTCACAAACTCTGTGTAAGCCAAGGAAATAGAAATAATACGTGCGCATTAAAAAGGATGGATTTTGAGAGACCATGCAGGCTTTAGACTATTTAAACTGCAAAAACTGATCGAAAAAGTAAGGTACTTTAGGGAACTAGACACAATTTTATTAAGTGAAATGGAATGGACTGACTCAGCACTTAATTCTAAGCTTTTAAATGGAACAACCTCATTTCATCATCTGAGCATTGCGCAACGTTTCGAGTTGTCAATCAAGCGAAGGTTTTAGCATTGACGGCCGACAGAACTCAGACTTTTTTGTGCGTTAGCTGAGTCATGATTCGGTCCGCATGGCTTTCGCCAAGTGGCGGATATAATGTACGCACGGTTTTTTCACGTGTCTGGGCAATAATTAGAAAGAAAAGGGAGCTAATTAAGTAGCAGCTCACTTGATCCCTCTACCGCCTTTCAGTCTTTAGATAAATGATTGAAAAGATCTGTAAATTGCTGGGGTACACCCACAGTATTAAGCTGTGCAATAATTATTGTAATGGGAATGCTTTTTAATACTTTCACCCCTAAAATCACCTTGAATCGAAGTTATTCTTTCTTTGCCAAAGCAACTTCGTAAATGTAGACAAATAATACCCTGTGAAGGTACTCATGTTGAAGAGATTTTATTTGAATGGTCACACCATATGATTCTGTCCACAGTTCGAGGGTTTAAGTAGCATAAATAACGCTCAGACTGCAAAGGTTAAGGAGGTGTGTGCCATTTATAACTTTTAAGAGTCCTTAGACACATTTACTAGATGATTAAAACAAAGGAAAAAAGAAACATAATTCCAAGGGTAACAATCGATGAATGTAGATATCTGAGTGCGAAAGAACTGTTGTATTCATACTGACTGGGTTGTTCAGAAATCAAGAAAGAAATTTGCTGCAAAAGGTGAATATTGTAACAAAACAAAAAACTGACCACATTTTTCGGCTGTTGATAACTGCTGCTATAATAGGTACGTCGGAGATAACTACAAGACTTGTATACACCTTGTTCGAGTACCCAATTCAGGGAAAGATAAGTCTCTGTTATAGAGGCCTCTTGGGTAAATTTAGTAGTAAACTCTCAGGACTTTATTAAGTTGTTTGTTAAAATGACTTTTAATTTCCGCTGGGAAATAATATCAAGATATCGGCAAGAAATATTAAAAGTGGAAAGAATTTATAAAATGCTGATTAATTTTTTGTGATAATATGTTTCAGATATCGGAGCTTGTTACTTTGTGGAGAAAACAAAAAAGCGCTGAAGGATATTAATTCTGTGGCGAGGGCCTTGCGAGACTCAAACAGCTCCGCCAACGGGGAAAACGTAGCTTCAGGCCAACAGGAAAAAACTTGGAACGTCATGAAGGTTAACAAAACTGAAATGGACCAAGCAATGGAATGCTTATTCCAAACGGTAAGTCAAAAGATACGTTCAAAAATTGTTGTGAACCTAAAATTTTATGGCAATGCATTTTTCTATTCTTTTTTTTAAATTTTTTTTTACTAGCTAAGAGCTTGCGGTGGCTCTGAATTGCCTTTTCTCGTTTGTAAAACTGGGTCTGTATCATACTTCAAAGTATGCTGACTTTTCGTGCAGCCAAAGTAATTACCCAGTTGAAGCTCTTGATAGTCTGCACGCAATTTGCGCGAGCACCGCGCGGAACGAGGGCGGGATCTCTTAAATAACTAAATGACGTAGTTAAAGCAATCAACCAATAAACCAGAGCTGTATCAACATGACCCTTTGCTATATTCATGGCACAATAATTGTCTTTTTCCGCTTTATATGGTCTCATAATGATTTGCAGTTATACCGCTTTGACACACGAACATTATGCAAATGCAATTTTCTATATAAGACTTTCGGTAGAGTTTAAGTGCTCAGTGTGTCAAACAGCTCACACTTAAAAAGATGCAACTTTTAGCCAGTGTTGAATGGATAGGAGAGGTAAGGCATTACTCTTCTTATACAGAACACGGCCCTTTTTGTCCAGATGACGTCCGTACATTATGATCTAAAGTACCGGCTTTAAAGACGTAGTAATTACTGCTTTCATTTTAAGAGCGCACTCTTGAGTTCCATTCAGACTTGAAAGTTCAGAGAGAAAGAACCCTTTGAGCTCATAGCGCACGTGAAATTGCAAAAAGTAGATAATGAATCGCCCGTTAGAAGTTTAAACGAAGGTTTTACTATTAAGGAGGAGAAGTTGAAAAAGCTTATTTTGTCGAGACGTTACTCACGTCTATACCCCAGAAACCTTATGTATCCACTCATTTTAAGCAGGTAAAAACCTGGCATTTTGCCAGCTAAGGCCAGTGTATAAGGGTAAGAACTTGAAATCTGATTTCAATTCATTGGAAAACCGTGATAACAGCCTCAATGTTTTTATTTAAAACAGTGAAATTTTGGCATTACATTCTCTTCTTTCTGTCCCCGAATTTTTCACCACCGTTTTAGCTTAAACCCTAGAGAAAGTTCAATTAACTTTAAAAGAGTTTTTGGGAACTTTTCGTGAGTATGTTTGGTTCAGACATAGAAATATGAAATGATAGGAACTCAAAACAAGCCTTGATAAATTACGCCGCTTGGGAACTCTAAATTTAACACAGGAAAGGACGAAAGAGCAGAAAAACTACGTCTTAAACGCATCCGCCGGACTTGAAAGTGAAGTGATCAATATTAACAAGCAGACCATAACTTACAAACGCTTTAAAAGACAAGAAGCTATTGTAGATGCAGGAAGATGCTGCGTACTTTCACTCTAAAGATAGGCGCTGAAGGCAAGCAGTTTTACCAATGAAAACCTTTAACCTCAATCCCTAAGACTTCAAAAATGCATATGAGAAGAAGCAGCGATATCTCTAAATCAAACAAGAGTGCAAAGGAAATGATTTGAAGTGGAGCCAAAAATAAATGGTTCTTTTAGATTTTCGGTGCAACAGTATCTTTCTTCTAGCAGTGGAGAGGCTATAAAGATAAATGAATTATTTGGATTTGTTACGAAACCATAAGGAGACTTTGAAGAATATACAAATTAATTTGTCAACTTTCAATTAGACGGGCTTCAACTCTATTGGCTTGCATGACCCTGTCGAGGAGTAACCAATACCGAACACCTTTCGTAACTTTCAAATTCACGCAATCCTCTTTGTTTAGGCAAACTCAAGTTATCGCCGTCGATCTTTATCTGTTTTGGAATCTAAAAATGGATTTCTTTTTTGTGCCGTTGGCATAAAATGCCCCGAGACTAATTGTTAACACCAACACAAACTCGAGCTGCAGTCTACCGCGCTTCGTTTTCGCAAAATTTGTCGAAATTGTGACAAAGCAAATTTGCTAGTCTTTACGCTTTACTGGTTGATGATTCTATGGCTTTATGACGTGTTAAGCCACTTGAGTTATATCCACGCCTAATTCAACGGGCCGCTGGTCTCACGAAAATGCTTTAAATAAAACAAAAACATGAGATCCGGTGTGTTACTTCCATTGGATAATCAGATGCAAAAACCGACGTTTACTAGATCTTGCAGTTTCGGCGAGATGTCATCTTCAAAAACGCTGATGTATAATAAGTGTTTAAAAGGGTGATGGATTCATGGTTTCGCGAGCGAGTAATTGCTCGTTATGCAAATTCTTTGTTTCACGGTGATTTTTGTTTGATCGACGATCACCTAGCGGAAAAGCAGAAGCCAATAATGAGAAAAAAATTAACTGAAGCTTGAAATCCTTAGAAATATTTAAGGGCAACTAGTCAGCTCTTTCTCTCTCAAGAGTGCCCAAACAAAAAATAATCAAGAAAAAAGTGCCATGACTTTTAAGTATTTTTTGTAAATAAAATACTGAAAAACAAATGGTACAGAGCGAAGGTACTGCTAAAGAGGTTTCACTTGAATGGTCACACCAAACAATTTCATCTACAGACTTAAAGAAAGTTAGAGTAACACATTGACGTCTTTGTAATTGAGGTAATTAGCAAAGGTGCAGTAACATCAGCTGAAAAGTCGCGGGTCATCACAGACTCCAAAACTTGTTCACTGCTCTTTGGTAAACTATGATCTCTAACTTGAGTTTCCATCAGTTTTTTCCAGTTCAAAGGAAACGAGAAGGAAATCTGATTGCGAACAACAAAACAAAAAATTTCCATCCATTTATAAGTTAGAAATCACCTTGCACAATACATATGAAACAAAAATCGATACCACAACAACCTACCGCCCACTAGCTGGCTTTTATTTTGTTTGTCAAAGCTAAGAACGTCATTTCCGACACAAAGGCAAGAAAAACCTTTAAACAGCACAGTACGGTGTCACAGAAAAGCTCAAGTGCATTCATTTGAACGTTCACACTTAATGATTTCATCCGCCGACACCATTACAGGAAACTACTGCTCAGTAGCTTTCATTTGAATGTTGACACGGCATAATCTCGTCCACACATTCTGCAAAACGGATAGAACCACTTTACACAACATATTAAAAACATTACCGCAGGAAAGTACTCATTCAGTAACTTTCATTCAGAAATGGAGTCACATTTAATGATCTCGTTCACAGACTCAGTCAGGGCCACTATAATATGTACATTATAAAAACAGTACACCATTGAGAAAGAATGCCTCAGTATCTTTCATTGAAATGGTCTTTATATCCACGATTAATAATTTCGTCTACACACTCAAAAGTAAGAACCACTTTACACAAAATGAAAATAACAACACAGGAAAGTAATATTCAGTGGGTTTCACTGGAACGGTCGCACTTCCTGATCTCGTCTACAAACTCAAACGTCAGAACCACTTTAAGCAACATTGTAAAAATAGCAACAGAGGAAAGTAATGCTCAGTAGCTTTCATTGGAACGGTCACACTTATAAATTCATGCGTAGATTCAAGCATTGAAACCACATTGCGCAACATAATTTAAACAGTAGTACAAGAAAGCATTGTGCAGTAGCTTTTATTGAGTCACTGCAGCCTCAAGTAAGGATGCCGACACAATTTGCTAAAAGCCTAGGGTAGCACCGTCTTCCGTACCATTGAGAAAGAATGCCTCAGTATCTTTCATTGAAATGGTCTTTATATCCACGATTAATAATTTCGTCTACACACTCAAAAGTAAGAACCACTTTACACAAAATGAAAATAATAACACAGGAAGGTAATATTCAGTGGGTTTCACTGGAACGGTCGCACTTCCTGATCTCGTCTACAAACTCAAACGTCAGAACCACTTTAAGCAACATTGTAAAAATAGCAACAGAGGAAAGTAATGCTCAGTAGCTTTCATTGGAACGGTCACACTTATAAATTCATGCGTAGATTCAAGCGTTGAAACCACATTACGCAGCATAATATAAACAGTAGTACAAGAAAGCATTGTGCAGTAGCTTTTATTGAGTCACTGCAGCCTCAACTAAGGATGCCGACACAATTTGCTAACAGCCTAGGGTAGCACCGTCGTCCGTACAGGATGATGACATGGGAAATTATTGCACGGAGTAGCATGCTTTTATCAATCGTCACACCCGTTAAAGATGTCAGTGGGCGACTCCGTCACACTGGAACACATGACAAGCAATCGAAATTATCGTTCCTTTTATTCTGGTGGAGGAAAGACACAGTGTAACAACAAAAAATGTCAGTAAACATTACTTAGAATGAATCGATGAGCGGAAGCTTTTAACGTGAACACTGTGTGATTCAACGATCTCTAACTGCGATATAACTCTCTGAACAACTGGAAAAATATACCTTAAATGTTCTCGTCATGGCTCTAAACCTGCAAAAAAAAAACTCGACACTGAAAAACAGGGCCAAAGAAAACCTCAGAAGGTTATGATAACAAGATCGAAAATCTAAATTTCAAGGCAGAGGTTTGTGCAAAGGAGGCGGAGGCATATTTTTCAAAATATCCGGAATACGTGATTTAAAGACCTTTCGAAAAAGAAGATCATATGATTACTCCACTTAGACTGTGCTTCCAGAGATTTCCAGCTAAACCTGATTGCGAAACGAAGAAAACCACTAATAGCAAATTATTTTCCTTCATAAATACATCAACGAACCCGCTAAAAAAAATAATACAACACTGGCTCGCCTTTTCAAGGTAACAGTCGGTCTCGTAAAGATAGACCCAAGATAATCGGTTTGTATTCTAGAAGCTTCAACGCTTTCCTAATGGGAACACGGTTTCTGGAGACGGAAAACTAAAAAAAACCTAATTTGAAATTTAAAAACAACAACAACAACAAAATTTACAGCTTCACCTTACTATGTACTACTTCGTAATTAAGTGAAGCAAGAGAGCAAATGTCAAGCTGTTGTTGACACAATCAGCTCGGTAAAACACTCTCAGATTGTACTTAACGCTTACAACATTTTTTTCACAAATTATTTTTGCTGAATATGGCTGGCCAATGCTTTTATCTTTACGTTGAACAAATGTTATCTAGTCACGCATAAGTCCGGCCTTTCCATCGTGCTCCGGAAACACTTTTTGACTATAAAATGATACCTCTTGTTAGTTCAGGATTTCCGACGTTGGCACGAGATACAAACCATACGTGAAACGACAGCGGTACGTAGGACTTGCTCGTGTCGGCTGGCATAGAAAACAACCAACGATAAGTAACAGATTAATCTGTTTGGCTTAACATCGTGGCAAATTTGCACGAGAGGAAAGGTTATAGGGAATGAAGTGTCAGTTTCGGTAAGAATCTATCAAATTTGCTAATTTTATAAAGTGCAAAGTCAATTAGTTTATGGGGCTTAAAGGTGATGTTATCTCACGCGAATACGGTAATACGCTGTGTCGGTGTTACAGTTGTATCACACCCGTTACACTAATCGCAGTTCGTTTGGTACATTACTGTAATCGAAGAAAAGAAGCTTCAAGGTACATCAGATCGTTTAAACCTCATTTTACACAAACTGGTTTTACAGATGCTTGAAATACTTGAGGCTTCCTGCCCACGAAACAAGTGCTTCACGTTTGCTTTTCTCATTTCGTTGCACGACGTGTGTTCGCGAGTCACGAACCCGATCAAAAGCAACCAAACAACAGTTCACGACGGTAAAAAAACAACCTTTTGGTATTTCTCAAGCAGCTCTTAAAGGTAATCTTCTTTTCCCCTTTGATAACATCGCTGAGATCCTTGTGATATTCACGAGCAGAGCCAATAATATAGCGAGGTTTTGTAGCCATCGGCAAGGAAAAAGACATGTCTAGCTAATTCAAAGCGATAGAAAAATCCGGAACTATACATCCAAAACAATGGCCCATTTCAGATGGGTTCAAATGCTTGTTAATGTGAAAGCTCTAGTAGCAGAGTAAATATGTTTATTTGTTTTCGGCAAGCTGTAGAAGAAATCCATATTCTTGCCATATTCGCTTTGTTTTCCGCCCGGCGGATATAAAAGTTTCATTAGAAGAAAAACAACCATTAGTGAGAGCGGATCTCGAGAAAGGCGGCTTGCCTTTACGTTTTTTTTTTTTAAAAAAAGACCTCGATATCTCATTGCTACAAACCGCGAGGAGTGGTCATCGCGAAATAGCCAAGGGGTTGTTGAATTATAAACTTAACTACCGGTCAAAACAGTAAACTTTTAAAACCTGCTTGTTCAGAGATATGTTGATAGGAAAGATGAAAGAGTCAAGAGATTGTGTGTTGAACGTGGGCAAGAGGTTTAGCACTTTTTTAAGGGACTTTCTTCGCGATAAAAAATTTTTCAGTATCATGTAGGTTCATCAAGCGGCTTGTGACGTAAAGATAGGTAAAATATTAAACTAATCAACTTCGATTCGCAAGGAAAATTAAGCGGTTATATGCCAAACAAATACCGGAAATGATACGTAACGCAGACTTTGTCAACAACTGTCAAATTTGTGTCAGGGTTAATGAAACCCTTCAAATGCACAACCAGAAATGAAATGCGAGCACAGTGACCTATAGAAAGCTCCCAAATAATAACCTTCAGGCATTTTGACCCGAGGGGTATTATTTAGCCTACGGGAAAATCGCAAGACGGTGGATGAAAGGAGAATCCAGCCACGTTAAAAGACTGCGAAAAACCAATTCCCCGCCTTCAGAGGCCTGTGATTGGCGGGGCGGTGAAATTTAATAAGTCTTAATTAGTTGCCATAGCTACTCATATGAATAGGTGTCAATCACAGGGGGGTTTCCTTCAGAAAAGCACTGTGACCGACGATAAAACCCAAGGTGCTTGGGCAGTGTGTTGCAGTTTAGCATTTCTATTGTTTTCCACTCGTGTGTAAAGATAAGAGAAAGGATGCTTTCCCTTGAGTGATTTACATGCTTTTACAGAGTAAAGCATCGGCTCATTTGAACTGCGCGCGCCAGAGTGGATCCGAATACATTTGCCACAACTCCTTCTAGAGGTAACCAAAATAAGTCAATGGGCGAATTTTATTATTCTTATTTATCCTAATGCGCGCGGGAAAGCAGCTTGAGTCAGTTTAACGGGGAATGTATGCATTCTTTCTTGTGCTCATTTTGTTTAATCTTGTTTACTTTGTTATTTGAATGTTATAGGGGAATGTGATGCGAGGACACAATACGGACATTAATCTCAAGGACTACTCAGATACGGTCAGATACCTTGAGCAGTTCCAAGAAATTACCAGCAAAACTTTCAGTGCCGAATTTCAGAAAAGCGGAGCTGAAATCACAGAGGAGACAGACGTCAAGAGGTCCCCAGAGCCCCTTCCCGCGCCTTTCAGTATGTATGGACCCAGTGACGGGTTTTACTCATCTCGAGTTCAAGGCCAAAACATTTTAAACCCAAACGTACGCAATGGAAATTTAGTATCTGAAAGAGGCATACCAAATCATTTCGGTTCATTCAAGCACGCAGAGATCGGGGTAGAGAACATGATTTCAGCGGAGAGAGGTGCTCCGATGTTTGATTATCATTACTCGCAGCACAATACACACGGTGGAATGTCCACAAACGAGGTTGCTAACTTTGCGAACGCAGCTAACACGCAAAATGAATTTGCGGTGGAAAATTCCACCACACCGTTCGGTCAAGGTGTTGCAAAAGGTTGTCTGTCTCCATCACTTCAGAATTGTCCACAGCAAGTTGCCATTAACCCTCTAGCTGGCTTAACAGAACTGGCCGAGAAAGCGAACTTCGCGTCTGAACTCGCCCGAAATGGCGTCGCCGAGTCTCGTTTTAGCTCTCAACCACGCCGCGGCCAAATAAATGGCCCGGCTGTTCAGTACAGCTTCCCAGAAGCACCGAGAGGCCGAAGCTGGTCACGTTCTATACCTGAAGGTGTAAACAGCTTCTTCAATGGAGGACAGCAGCCTTTTCAAGCTGATGAGTTCTCGCCGACTCTCTCGACAGGGAGTTCGATTCTCACAGATTCTGAGCTGGGAAGCCCGTGTCACTCGGCACGGCCGCGACACTTCTTCCCTTATAGCGAGTCGGAGTCGGATCTTTCGCCGACTGAAATAAACCCCTATGATAGATCGAGAGCATCTTACCAGAACTACAACTCGAGAACGTTTGCAAATTACAAACTTTGGAGTAATCAGACTGAGTCGATCACGCCAAATGTAACGGTAGTTCCCGACCCAAGGAGTAAGCTGTCGCAGTTGTTCAAGTCTGGCAGTCGTAGCACCACCAAATCGGAGGAGATACTCAAGGAACATTTGCAAAACTTCGGCAAGTACTTGCCAACGCAGGGAGACAAAAAGCAAGAAAAAAAAGCTGACACTGAACAAGAGAATAGCTGGACTGGCGAGGAGGAGGTTAAAGAGAAGAAAACTTCGACAGCAGCTTCTAACGCGAAGGAATCTAGCGAAGAGAATACAGTGTTCCCTTGCAAATGGGTCAACTGCGAGGGATCCATATTTTCGGAACAAGATGACTTGGTGCGCCATATAGAGAAAGTTCATATCGATCAAAGAAAGGCGGACGATTTGTATATTTGTTATTGGAAAGACTGCAGCAGGCAACGAAGGGCTTTCAACGCGAGATACAAGCTTGTGATTCATATGAGAGTCCATTCGGGCGAGAAGCCCAACAAATGTACGGTAAGTAGTACGGGTAGTACAAAAGCGATGTTTGTTTTGTATTGTCTTAGAGTTCCTTCAGATAGATCGCGTCAATTATTTTGCACTCAATTTGTAGGATTGGGAGTGATATTGAGTCAAGAATAGAGTTTTGGAAATTTCTCAATATCGGCTCGAATTACCTACCAATCGAGCGATGGGCATCTGTTATCGCGAAATGTCCAAATACAACACGTGCAAGTGAATTCAGACTTTGCGGTTCTTGGTGCTCGTTTTGACACGAGTGGTATTCAAATGTCACCTTGGGCATAATTTAATCATGTTTTTATGAGTTCAATCACACGACGTTGCTTTCTTTGATCAGGCAGAGAACTTTTGTCGGTTTTTGGATGGGAAATGAAGGTCTGCGATGCGTGAAATTCAGGAAATGAGTAGACACATATTTTAGCATTGCGGTCAAAAACCCATCTCGTTTCTAGACGGCCTGTAGCTAAAGGTAACATTCTGATGTAGCAGGCATTTGAAGCCACTCACGCCAGGGTCTGTGTGCATTTGCATAAGACACAATAAAACCTTTGTTTGTCTTTCAGTTTGGCCTCTACAGCTACAAATTCAAAGGCATATTTGTTATACTTGTGGTTCGGAACAGTCGAAAAGAAAAACAAATTCCCTAGACCAGATCTCGTAAATCACGAAACGGCTTTGCGCGTGTTTAAATCTCTCGTCTCGCTTTTCTAAGGTCAATAATGAAAGCGGAGAGTTACAAGGAGGATTTTTTTCGTCTTGGCGAACTTTTGCGCGAGAATTTACCGCAAAAATATCTGCGCATTCAAGAGCAATGAAAGGGTTCCATGTGGCTCAATCGGCGGGGATGCTATAGAGAATTGTTACACAATCAATCGTTTTCAGTCTAAAATACCATGTTTTCGAGAATGATCACTCACAAAAAACCGTAAGAAAAAAAAATTAAGAGAACAAAAAGTACACTAGCTCGACCTCTTCAAGGTTTTTGTGTCCTATTCTTCTTTTATTAATTCCGCGTGTATGCAACCTGTTTTGAAAAGCAATTTGTTGAGTGAGGAGAGAGGGGGGAGTGGTGTCGGAAGACTACAAAGAAAAGCTATTGAAAGTCGCCTCATACAGTCTTTACACTCGCAAGTTTTGTCTCCCCTTCCAAATAAAGTTATGAATATAATTAGATTTGGTGTGAATTAAAATGGACATTGCCATGAAAATGGTCGCTCGGCGATGGCTAAGGCGCGAGGCTCTCTGTTGACCTTGGGGCGAAGAAACGACCCCCGCTGTTTGCGTGAATCGTCGTCACGGAAGACTTTGGACGGAATTTTTGACGTATTCCAAAAGTTGAAAACCACCTGCTCTTAGTCAATGACAGTATCTAGTAATACGTTGGTCGTCAAGCGTTTTATTTCAAGTTGGCAACACTCTAGTAAGGCAAACCCAAACAATTCCCATTTGACAAAGATAGTTTTTTCTTGAGAACGCCCTAATTGATATCACAAACGTCATCGTTAAAATGGTTTTTCTTTTAATTAAAATTTATACGATGATTTCTTTCTGTTTATTTCGCACTAGTGTACAAATTTAAAGCGATACCTGTGATTCTTCGTGAGTGCTAAAAAAGTCATTGTTTGATCACCCCTTTTGTCTGTGTAAAATCGTGCACCTGCAATAAATTTTTGAAGATTGTCTTCATTCTGTCTGGATAAAAAGCGTTTCAAATTGCATATTTAAGAGTGTGCAAACCGTTCTATTTAGTTTAATATTGAATTTTATGGAAAACCTCATGTATTTTGTGGAAATTTAAGGACAACATTTAACCAAACAAAGCGCTAATTGATTTGTACTCGACTCATGCTATTTTCGAGGGCAAAAAATAATATTCAACTGACAGCGTATTAAATTGCTTTTACTCAATATTTATCTCTCTTTTGCATTTATTAAGTTTGAGTCCTAAATCAATCAAAATAAATAAAACATGACAGTTAGCAATTGAATTTCTAAATACAAATTAATTTTTTTGGACATTGTGGCCAAAACATTTACAGTAGACTACCAACAGACAGTTTAATTTCAAATTGATGCATCGCAAAATAAACGCCTTTGTTTCTGCTTTGTGTGTCGAGGCCATTTCAAGAAAACTGGCACTGAGGCAAATTTGATTGCAGTAATTACTGATCAGTTGTTCTTAACTAATTTTTCTGACAATACACTGCCCACAGAGATTTGAACAACAGTCTTCCTAACATTAAATGCAGATATACAGTGTTTTAGAAAAATAGAAAATAACTTGTACAGGCTTCCTGACAAGTGTATGCTCATTGCTATTTTAGGTGCCAGGACATTAATTACTTTTCAAAATTTATTATGTTTGTTTTGAGTGACTTTCTTACATTCACCAATTTTGTTTATCTTGGATGGGTTTCCTTTCAATTTAATCTTACAAGTATTAAAAGAACAGGTTCTGTAGCCTCTGGTGGCCTGTTATTTGATAGATTATTTTTTTGGAAAAATGTGGAACTAGTTCTTGTGTTTTTGAACCCAGCTGGTGTGATGAATAGATTGGTTTGAATTTCGCCATCCAGACTGAGGTAAACAATTCCCAGTAAAGCACAAAGGTCTCTGTGTAGCAGTTTTACCATAACTGTATATGTATATTCATATCTTTTGGCTTTAACAAAAATTAGTTTCTCTTGCCATTTTAATGATAGAATTGTAGATTCGCTTTTTGAAATACATTGCATTGCATAAGTAAATTACTGCTCCATGACTGACATGAATGGTCATGTTATAGCCACCCTCGACGGCATAATGTTTTTAACAACACCAGTGAAAAGTAGCTAGCACTATGTATTCTTCATGTATCTGTCCAGACTTCAGAATTTTATCCACAAACTTGAAAATATAAGAAGCTGTCTCATCAAACAAGATAAAATTATTATTGTGAAAAGTGAACTGCTCTGCAATAAATGTTTAATGAATATATGTTACTCCTTTGAAGTGAAGCAAGTGTATAGAGTTGCACACAGAATAAGTCGAGTACCATCTATTTGTCTTATGAAACACATAACCAAACACATTCCGATTTTTAAAGCTTAAGTTCTTTGAAACAAAGACGTGGGATGCGGACATAAACAATGAAAAAAAAAAACGTTCTCAAGCTGAAACAAGTAGTCATCTGGTAAATTATTACAGCTGTATTTAACAAAAACTACAAAGATAGTTCAAAATGATTTCATAGTTTTAGGAAACAATATGAAAGAGTGCATCTATGTTTCACTAAAAGTTAAGCTATTCCATATTTATTTGTAGGAGTGATAATGTTCTTTCAAAAACTTCAAGTTGGTAATATATTAGAAATTCCCTAATGTTGTTTTTGAGTGAGTTCGAGATCATTTTGTCTCATGAAAGCATTCCACTGTTTTTAGTAGTCTTGAAGTCTCAGCCTTTTAGATCTTTTGAAGGAGAGTTTACAGTCATCAGAATTCAGGTCATTGGCACTGCCAATATCAAGATTAAATTTGATATTATTTTGTTGACATTTGAGATACTATTTTAAAATCAAATATATATTGGTCAGTGAGTGAAAAATATTCACTTCCTGGTGACCATAAGCATCTGTTCAAGACCAACAGTACAGGTTTGCATTGACATATTTTGTCTTAAACTTGTGTACTCTGTCTTGGACGAAAAACACATATTTGGTGAAATAACAAAGAAGCAATGTCTAGCCATTGGAAACTTAAGCACTTGATTATGCATCGTAAGTCTCAAGAAGGTTCAAAAGACAATGGAGAGATTAAAGTCATAATGTTCCTCTGTTATCCCCACAAACATCATGTTATTCCCAAACACAAACATCGTTGTTTCTAATCCAGACGAAAGACAACATCACAAGTGGCTTTTTGAGACAAATCCAGCGATTTGGCTTAAGAGGTTAAGTGCGGATTTCCACTGTCAATAGGACAGGAACTGAAACTGGCGTTATGTACAGAATACTAATGTAAGAAGAGGTGTAAGCCTTCAGTACTTGCATAACTCGTCCAACCTGACCTGGCCAAGGCTGCGCTCTCAGGAAAACAGTAGGGAGCCCAATAATCCAGGGTTGCCTAGCATTTATTTTTCGTTGAAAAAGCAAGGGTTTTAAGGGTGAAAGTAGGTCATCAGCGGGCCACCAGGCACTATTACACGCTAGAGCATACCAAGGGGACAGAGGATTGGAAATCCATCTTAATCTTGATGTCAATCACCATGTTCTGAAAGTAATTTTCTCACAGTACTTTTGTGATTACATTATTTTGTATTAAGTTGCTCCGGTTTTGCTGTTATTCCACTGATTTGTTGGCTAGGCAAATAAGCTTGTGTTATTTGCACTGTCTCCAGAACATTCCTTCTTTGACGTGTTTTTACTTTTTACTAACACAAGTTGTGTGGATTTTTTTTCTTTGATTCCCCTTTTTCTGAAAAAATAAACAACATACTGCAATAGCTCTTCTTGACGAAAGAATTTCTCAGGCATGCACCTTAAAGATATTGCAAAATAGTTATTAATTTATTCCACCTACAGACCTGTGTTTTTCGAAAACAAGATATATATATAGAACACAGAAAATGTCACACTTCTTTCTTCTAAGATAGACAAATGACATATACTTGAGAAACACTGACAGTACATGTATTTTATCCATGAACTAATTTTTTATTGTTCAAAAGGTGGATGTTTCTATCCAATTATTACATGTAATAAATTGCTATCCAGTGGTTCGAATCCTGTTGAAGCCCTGACTTTTTTCAGGCTTCTTCTTTCCAATTAATTGGAAAATTTACTGCGATGATCATTCTTCACTTTTCTTTCTTTCTTTTCAGTGGATGTCTTGTTTGTTTTCCTTATAGTTCTCCAGTTAAATGTGTTTTATCAATAAATTATTCTAATATTGAAGGAGACTTGCAATAGTAGTTCGGCAAAATAGAAAAAATTCCAACAAGGCAATAGTAAACACTTACTATAAATGATTAAGAATTATTTAGGATGGAAGATATTGACAATAAGAAGAACAAAACGTCAATGAACTAGTTTTTCCACTTTCCTTCTTCAGTTCCCAGGATGCAATAAGGCGTTTTCAAGGCTAGAAAACTTGAAAATTCACATGCGGTCCCACACAGGGGAGAAGCCATACCTTTGCCAACATCTAGGCTGCCCAAAGGCATTTTCAAATTCATCTGACAGAGCCAAACATCAAAGGACACATCAAGATACAGTAAGTAAACACCACTCTCTACATGTACTTGGTAATAAAATGAATCAATGTAGTATAGTGAAACCCTGCAGCTTCAAGGACACCCTCTTCATACAGACACCTCATTATTACAGACAGTTTCCTTTGCCCCTGGGGAATGAAAACCCTTACATTTTCTCAAAATTCAACCTGCTTAATTCGGACACCCATTAATAGGGACGCTTTCTATGGCCTCCTCAGTGTCCCCGTATTAATGGGGTACGTTTGACTGTACTGAGATTATTATACAGTAAAACCCTGCAGCAACTCTGAAGGGTGACAAAAAACAGTTTGAATTAGTGGGGAATTTGAGTTATCTATACCAAACCCTAAATGAAGTCCTGGCAATTTGACCACTGAAATCCTTTTGTGGCAAAGTCAATTAAAGATAATCCCCCTTCACCCTTACATGGACAGTAAAAGAGTAAATTCTACTCCAAAAGTCTGCTATATTCTATATTTAAAGAAAAACATGTATCACAAGTGAATGGTGCAGTTTCTTGAATATCAGTGTAGTTCTTAATTTAAAAATCTTGACAGCTACTAGAAATCAAAATATTTTAATTCCCTTCCTCCTCATACTGCGTGATGTTTTTCAAACCTCCCTTAAGTGCGCACCCTGAGACCTAGGCATAGGCCTTTGCTTGCAGCAATTTAAGGACTTAAATCATCACATAAAATTGAGCTGTGAAAGAGTTAATACAGTAGAACCTCAATAACCCAAACTCAAATGTACCCTTTTACTGTATTATTTAGTTAGAACTACCTTATTAATAGCCGTTAATAATACAGTGTACCCATCAATAATGGAGGTTTGGGGGTTAGAGAAAAGGTGTCATACAGTGCAGTCTGTAAACTCTTTTAATCCAAGAGGGTACTTATGCCAAAAATCAAAATTCATGCAAAACAGCAACTTTGATGTTCCGAAATAAGGAAAACCTAACATAAAAGTATAGCCTAAGGGGTTTGATTTGAATGGTTACGCTTTAACCCTTAAAGCCCTGATATCCACATACAAATTCTCCAGACTGACCTCTATACATTTCCTTAAAGAATTAGTTGAGAGAATTTGATAAAAGATCAAAGATTTTTCTCTTTTTGATCATTTTATTAATTCTCATCGACTTTGCTCTTGACAATCTATGGATATCATTCGGAGAAAATCGATGTTGGTCACTATTGGGATTAAAAGGGTTAAGATTTGGCCCACAGGGATTAAGTTTGCATTAGGTCAGTATGTGTTCTCTCGTTGACTCAAGGGCTGAAGAAAGTTTAAATATGTTGCCCTTTTTGAGTATTGTGACATAATATTTTTTTTCCTGCTATTTGCAGAAACCATATGCATGTCAAGTTCCTGGTTGTCCAAAGAGATACACAGACCCATCTTCACTTAGAAAGCATTTCAAACAACATGCTAATGGCAAAATGCCACAGCAGAACTCAAATACAAAGGTATGTCTCTTTCTTATGATTTTTAAAACCCATTGCCTTTTGCCCCTGTACAGTGGAACCTTGCTATAATGAACCTGTCCTTGGTATAGCGAGCGATTTTCTTTACCACAGAAATAGTAAAATATAGGGAAAAGAACCTTGATATAACCAAACATTGTTATATCAATAGCAAACAAATTTTGCCAGTCCCTTGGCCCTTTGTCTTATCGAATTGCCACTGTAGCTGTTTCATCACAGAACAGATTTGTATTCCTGGCTTAAAGTTGCACATTGATAAACAAAAAGAAGAGACTTTTCATTTAACTGGACTCTTTTAAGCAGCACTGGCAACAGATGGGTGTTCGGAGTTCTCTGGATTAGGCAGAAACCACTGACTTTCACCTTAACCTTTGAACACCATGTGCCTCTATCAGAATTCAAACAATAAATAATAATCTTGTACCCCATTTTCTGCAAAAGATACAGTTTTTGCTGCTATTATTCCACTGAAAATAATATTCTTTTATTGCCATTTCCGCAATGTTGTGACTTTGAAATTAGGAAAGAAAAACAGAAACAACCTTTCTTACCAATATACTTGTAATGTCCTTATGACAAAATTTAATGCTATATTTTGTTTTATATCAGACAAAACAGAAAACAAGAGGAAACAGATCATCAAAAAGAGACCTACTGTGTGCAGGGGTGACAAGACCTTTGTCAGATTTTGCCTTTATGGACGAATTTCAAGCAAGAAAGCGCCAGAAAATGCTAGATACACTTCGTCAGACAACAGAGAAAAAACTTGCTCTGGAAAATGGTTTTGCTCAAGCACTTCCTGATACTCAAAGAGCTTGGTATGGTCCAGAAAGCATGTACAGACAGTACAATCCACCACCTTCACAACCTGTAGCAAGAGCGAGCACACCAACTCCCGAAGAGGAACAAGACTTTCGCTATACTCAAATGTTGAGCTCAATGGAAATCCCCACATTTGAGGAGACATTGAAACCACTGATGAGTGGTTATTCAACGTAGCTAACAAGCTTCGCTGACTCAAATGGTCCAAGAACTTGAATTCAAAGAAGAACCCACAAACTTGTACAAACAAGTTTTGATGCAGACAGAAGACACATGGTTTACATTAGCACTGTATATGTCATACTTGTCAGGACCGGACTGTAAATAACAGGAACTAGGAGATTGTTTTTGGGGGGTCATGCTTGATGAAACCTAAGAATTTCATAAAATGATGCAGATGTGACGAGGCCACTTGTACGTGTCCGTAAAAATTGTTTTTGCTAGAGGAAAATAGAAACTGTACTTGCTTGTACATGTAGGGTTAAAGAACAGGAACCCTACAAGATCAGGCATAATGACTTTCAAACTCAAGGGAAAATCACAAGTTAGTGGTAATGGTTATTCATAGGAAATTAGCATTTTTATTATAAGATTTTAAAATTGTTTATACATCCAGCAAGCATGTAAAAGCTATTTGGCACCATTAAATGAAGTTAGTACTATTTTATTGTAAAAGTACTCGAGTGAGAAGATTTGAATTCAAATGTATTTTTCGCTGCTGCTTAAAAAATTAATTTCTAATTTAAGTAAGAATTGAATTTATGGAAGTACATGTAAGATGTGTTGAAAAGTTATTTTGATACAGAGACTTCTGCAATGGTGAAAAGGTACAGACTGTTAAGCTGCGCAATTAAAAGTAATGGAAACTTCCTGGCATAATCCATTTCCTTAATAATGAGCTTTAATATAATAATTAATAATGTTGCATAAAATATTTTCATTGTAGTTAGTTCATAATTATGTCAGGTCAATGTCCAACTTGTTGCTAATCTCATTTTTGCCAACAACATTTTGTACAATCTCTGTTGTTTTAATCAGTAATTTATTGTACCATAAACCATCATACATGCAGTAGAAGTGAGCCACACCTACTTTACATACATTTCATTCATTATTATATTCCTCTTTTGTCCTTTCAATTTTCCAGTTCTTTATCACCTAAATAGGTTATACACAGTCATGGTAAAGACACCAACAAAAATAGCGCATTGTCAATTGACTGTATTCCAGAATAAGAATAAAAGCGATAAGCTTTAAAAGTCACTCATTTTGGCATTTATTGCTTTGCAATAGCTAGAAATCTGCTTGCAATAAAATATCCCAATGTATGTAGAGTTAAGTGGCCCAGAATACAATCAAACACACCCTTAAAGAGACGGCCTTATATCATTAAAAAGTCTGGCTGTGGAAAAACCCTGCTATTGTTGAAACTTTATGTAAATATCAAGCACTTTTTCTTTTACTTCTGATTCATCAGCATGCATAGAAAAACAGCTTGTATTTCTAACTTTTTTATAGTTACTGTTTTGAGACTTGCAGGATTAACATCAGATTATTAAAAAATATTGATAGTATGGTTATATGATAGTTTTTAATAAAACATTATTAATTGAGTGTTACAAGGCCTGAATTCATTTATTTGTAAATTTCTAGATGAGGCTGGGGTTTCAAAAAAATTGAGGTAGCCAGCAGGTTAAAATACATGCAGTAACCGACTGTATCTCCAAGGGGCCAGTAGTCCACTTTTCCAGAGGTGTCTTGGGGCATGCTCCCTCAGAAAATTTTAAAATTTCAAAGCGCTAATAAGTGATTTCTAGCATTCAGGGGACTAGACTGAGTACAAAAGAGAATGTTTTCCATTCAAGAAAATTTGCATGGCTCAAATTTGGCTAAAACTTCAAGTCAAATTTTGATCTATCAGCCACACAATCAACTCTTACAAGCAATGAAAAATGATAATTACCAAGTTACATACATTTGCACGTGAACAAATTCTATTTTTAACACATTATTTAAACTAGTTGCTTCTTCTTTGGGGAAAAAAAGTGGCCGATTTCTCTGAGCAAAAGCTATTTGATATTATCTGGCATACAGTTAAGTTGTTGGTCAAATTAAGAAAATTATTTTAACAAAATCACAAGGATGAGGAAAAATAAACACCTTCACCTTGCACGCAGACATGGAACAGACATAACATACATGTACACAGTTGCTGTACATGTAGGTAGCCGGCAGATAGGAATCATGTAGCATGCTCTTCCTATGGAATTTACATTTTGTTTGAAGACAGTGAATTACTAATAACTACTGTATAGTCATAAAAACTTGCAACATTTGAAGTGCCTTACAGAAATGTTTCATGTTGATGATACATTTGGTACATTATACTTTGGTCTAGCCTTGTCTCATGCATTTTATAGTAATGGGGTCAAGAATATTATTTAATTTTACTGGGTCTTCATACATAGAGTTTGGACATAGGGGCCATTTTATACATGGCAAATTTCAGCCCAGGCTGAAATTTTGCTCTAGTTAAGCGGGCTTGTTATCTTTTTCTTCTCGTTTTTAAAAAAGTGAATTTTAGTAAAGGCGCAATATTGTATTTGTAAAGTAAATTGTAAATTGGGTGGGAAGGTTCAAGCAATGAGCATGCCCAAGTTCACATCACTCCAGGCTAAAAATTTGAATGTCATTTTGTGAGTTATTTCAGCCTGTTGACCAGGATAAATTTCCAGCCCAAATTGTGTTCCCTTGACTAGAAAATTTATCTCCATGCTGAAACTCTCTTCACGTAATTGCCTAATTGCACAATTGTCTTTCAAGGCTGTGCTCTAGCAAAGCCTGGTGGCCCATCGCACCTAACGTTTGTTCTCGGGCAACTGGAAAATCTTTGCTTTTTCACAGAAATCATATGCTGAGCACACTGGATTTCACAAGTTCAGAGCGCTGGGCTCCCTTCAAATTTTCTTAGAGCCCAGCCTTGTGACTTTTAATGAAAACATGTTTAGGAAACCAACCTCAAACCTTGTTAGCACTTTATCATTACTTGCTTCTTTAGACTGTACATAATTCAAGATAATATACTAATAGTCACTCACCTAATTATTGAGACAGTCCATAGATTCCAGCAAAGAGCGTTGTTTCTTAACAGGTTTGCACACACTTGAAGAATTAAATACTAAGTACTCTTTAAACAACTCGTCCTCTAAAGCATCTTCACTCTCAGTGACAAAGGCTTCTGTATTATCGCTGCTCATTTTAAGCTTTTTACTGGGTTGACCATCCATCGCAACATCTTGCTTGTGATCTTCCAAACAGTTTTCAGTGTTTGATTGTAACCAATTCAGCTTTTTAATTTTTGAAGTGAACATAATTACTGGAAGTTCACCGGTGCTGTGGTTTTCCCTTTTTTCTGTTAACTTCTGTATTATTTCTGATCGTGTCGACTTGTAAAACGTCCCTCTTATCACTTTTAAAGGCTTTCTTTTGTTCCTTGCAACAAAGCACTCAGATTTTTTCAGCCAATCGTTAATAACATCAACAGCCCATCCTTCTGTTACTGTGAAAGCTTTACCAGTATAGAATTCATCATTGAACTATTTTGAGAAAAAAAAAACATTGAAAAAATAAGAGTAAAAACAAAAATGAGCAGACTGGTTGTTATGAGTAACTGAATAAACAAGTGTTTTACTTGAGTGACAATGTTTTGGTGTGAATAATATTTTTACATCTTCTACTGCAGACAGAACGTAGTGACGGAGTCCAAGTCGTAATCAGAAGCATAAGACTTTATGATCTACTGAAAACAGCATTCAGATTCAACTCCATCACTTGTGATCAAGTGAAAACTACATTGTCAGAGTCACAAGCAGAAGCAGAAGAACTAACCAATCACAAAGCGTAAGAATGTGCATTGTCATTAGCTCATTGTTCGGCCTCTGCCTCTGCTTCTGACCCGACAATCTGGTTTTCACTTAATCGTAAATGACGGAATCATAAGCAGAGTCAGAAGAAAATGGAAACCTTCACGCTTATGACTCTGACTTTTGATTTTCACTAGGTCATAAGCGCGCTCTCGACTCTGCTTTCAACTATGGCTCTGACTCCGTCACTAGTGAAAACCCAAGTATAGGTCCTGCCCTAGGATCAACCCCCTTGACCTCCCACTCTGCAGTCAAACACTCTGCCGATTGAGCCGGTCCTGTTGCATCTTTTTTGGGAAGAACCTTTTGTTTTAATCAATCTACATGTAATGTAAGGCTGTTCTCAGAGAAAAATTTCATTGTAAGGAGCCCATAAAGCTCTGAACCCATGAAATAAGGGTGAAAATAATTAATTTTGTGGAAGACAGAACTTTGACTGTATAAATGAGGTGTCCAGGGTGCAAAGAAAGTCAGTTTTTTAGCCTGCCATTCGGGCAAGCTGTAGCTAGCACGTACTAGTCCACAAGTCATTTCAACAAGCCCCAGAACCCTTTTTGATTAGCAGGATTGATTACAATCCTTCTGTAATTTGAATTTCCCCAAAAAACAGCACTTGGCCGTCGGGCAAGTTAAGAACAAAAATCACTACCCCAGTAGCAAAATCCACTAGCCCCAGGCTACCGGACACGACTTTCTTTACACGCTAGGTGTTGACTTGCTGCTCCAGACAGTTAAAATCAGCACCCTATAATACAGCTCAAAGTTATGCCCCTTTTAAGGAGGAGAAAGCAGTGCCTGGAGCACACTGTACCTTTCAAACGACAAGAGAGTAATGACACCTTGCCGCATCTGAAACATGCATCCCACACAGTGAAAGAGTCTTTAAATAATATATAAATAATCCTAAAACGTAAAACTTACATCCTGTGGTGCCAGACACAAATTTCTATGCTTTAGAAGCTGCGGGACCCCATATCGAAAAGACACCTGAGTACCAGAGAGATTCAGAGCTGTCAAGGAAGTCAGCTTGAGGAGGTGCTTGACAGCATTATCAGTAATGTCATGGTTAGAAGCCAAATCCAAAACAGCAAGCTTTCCAAGTCCATCTTTAAGGAGGCGCTGAGGTAATGTGAATTTTTTTACACCAGCATCAGATAGGCAGTTGTCTTTGAGGCTCAGCTTGATCAAACTAGAGGAAGAACAAAATTACAATAATAGTATTTTATTGCATGCATCAGTAAGGGTTTCCATCAAAATACCATTTCAAGGTGAGTTTGAAGTATCACCAGGGTTGGGGACCATACTCCCATATACGCAGTGATTTTGTTACCCCTGCGTCCTGCATCCCTGATACATAAGAATCACCAAAGATGCAAAACGCATGCAGCAATCAAATGTCTACTACAATGTATGCTTCAGTATTTATTACTGAATTCGGCTCTTGTAAGATGCGAAGAATTATGCAGATCTTGGAGGAAGTTATTACCTTGGCCTTCAGCCTCAATAGATAACATCCTGCTCAATCTGCATAATTCTTCACATCCTACTCAGTCTCATTCAATAACTGCTAGTTGTCACCACACTAAGTGTTCTAAAATAATAATATACTACAGTCAACTCTCTCTAAGACGGACACCTTTGGGACCTGCTCTAAGTGTCCGTCTTAGAGAGGTGTCCATCATATAGAGAGTCAAATAAAGGGAGTAAAGAAAGGCAGGGACCAACTCTAAGTGTTCGTTTTACAGGTGTCTGTTTTATAGAGATGTCCTTTAAGAGAGATTCGACTGTAATCCTTTAACACACACAGACTCACCAATGAAAATGAGACATATATGACAGCAGCTCATGAGTATCCCCAAGTCGACAATGGCTAACATCCATTTCAGTAAGGAAGGTGAAGAATTGCAGAAACTCTAGGTAATTATTTGCAAGAATGTGTTTTGATGAGAGAGACAACTTTGATAAGACAAGTTCACCATATGCCTCACAAAATAGCTTCAAATTCTTGGGATTGGACACAAATCCTTCATTCTCCTGAACTTTATGGAATAGTTCTTTACCCACAATATCTGGGAACTCTGCTAAGGATTCAACCATGGTTATATTCTTGGCAACAAAGTCCAGGCAAATAAGGAAAAGTGATTGAGGACTAAAGTTGTTACCATCCTTAGCAACAGAACAACTTGCTCCTGTGGATAAAAACATGTACACTGTAGTTGAGATTTTAAAAATAAAGGAAAATACAAACAACTTGTACACACCAGAGATCATTTTTTCCTCAGAGATCCTTTGAACAAAGTTATAAATTAATTCTTAATGAGGAAACAGGGGCGTAGCAAGCCCATAGACCTGTAGGCCTGCACAGCCTACAGTTTTTAGTTTGATCACTGTTTAAATTATGCTTTGTTGAGCTCAAAGTGTTGGTGAGGTCAGTGCATGCATACTAGTCATGTGTGCAATTTACAGGGTATATGAAAATGAAATTCAGCCAGGCCTACAACTAGTCAAAGAGCTGGCTACGCCCCTGGGAAGTGTTTGCTTATAGCGAGGTTAAAAAATCCTAACATTTGAACAGGACTCTAACTGAGATTCAAAAAGAAGATAGACGTGTGTAACTATGTCTTTGACATGAGTGCCTGCTGGGTACCCTGATAGGTTTTGGTTTGAGTTTATGACAACAAGTTGTGACTAAAATAAATAATAAGAATGTTTCTGTGTTCAAATTAGAATGCCCATTTCACTTGCCCAGAGGAAAAGCTGGAATTCATGTAATTTTTTTCCCTGTGGCTATATGCCCAGCAGTTGGGAGGAGTCTTAAAAAACTAAATGCTCAGCAGTCAGAAAATCATTTTCTAGAATTTCTGAACAATCCCTTTTTCTAATCTCATTTAGTTTTTTTAAGACCCTTCCCGGCTGCCGGGCATATAGCCACAGCATAATTTATTTTTCTGAGCCCCAAAGAAAACATACCTCTTCCATGTTTTGAAACAGCTGTGCATGTGCAACCATCTAATTGCATGAACTTTTGCCTTATAATAATGGGAGGTTCATTTTAAAAAGGGCACCTTTGAAAGATCCCCCTAGAGACTAACACCATGATTGAGATGCGATAAAATTTCCTCTACGAGGATGGTGGCAGAGCTTAGGCCAGTCATTATTGGGGCCCTCATCTCTTTATTTTTGTTTCAATCTGTATCTCACCTACAAACTATTTCAAGGATAATTTATTGACATTATCTAGTCTTTCCCACATCCGTGGACGAGAAATGGCCGTCCCAAATTTAACCTGCTGATTGCAAGGCCCAGTTGTTCGAAGGCCGATTAGCGCTTAGCCCAGGGTTAGATTCAACCTGTGTTTCTTCTTCTTTTGGTCAAAAGCATTTTCTCGGATAATTTTCTCTGTTATGTTTAAGAACATCCAATCATCAACTTGTTGACAAAAAGAATTAAACTGAATTTACTTTTTAAGCTTTCATATCTGAATTCAAATTTCGCACTAACCCTGGGTTATCTTAACCCAGCTTCGAACAACTCCGCCCAGCTGATATAACTTACATGTGATATAACTTACACGAAGGTAAGCTTTATCGGCGTCAATTGTTAATGCTCACATGACAAACTATTAAAAATTTCTTTCACTCAGTATATTGCATACCTTTGAAGAGACTTATTTTGTAAGAGCAGTCATTTTTGTCCGTTATCCCATAACCCGAAGGCGCGGACACTCGGCCATATTTGTTTCGTGTGTAAACCAAACCAACTTCATTCCAACTGTCAAAAATATCCCTTGAAACATCTTGGAACGCCATTGGGCTTGAACAAAGCTCTCCTGTGACTTACAAAGTAGTGTTTTGCTTACCAGGCTGCATTTTCTCTGCTGGCAGAGGCCTTGTGCATGAACATTAAGCGAGAAATTTACCAACGCTGACGTTGTTTGTCGCTGCAAAAATGGCTTAGTGGAACAGAATGATTCATATTTTCCCGCCATGCTGCGCGCCATTTCAATACCGAGAGGGCATTGGGAACAAAGCTTACCACAGGTAGCCCAGCTCTATTTTGCTGTTTTTGGTCTCTTAAGTAGCGTTTGTAGGGCAGATAACTGTAAGAAAACAACACAGACACAACTCAATGGCTGTTAATGTGCATTTTAACTGTTTTATCGACCTTACGATAAATTCCCATACAAATCCCTATAATTTGGCTTCAGCCGTGGCATACAAATGGTTACGCGCCAGGAGCCTATGATGGGCTCCTGTTACGCGCGCATATAGTTGGCTTTGTGGGACGGAGAATCTTCCCGCCATATGTTTTTCTTGTTCATACCAACGGTACTTTAGGTGATCGAAATTTTTCTGCACTTCTACTGAAAAGACTTAATCGTAACGACATCGGCCTGCGGCTGACACCAAAGCATCCAGCCGCACGGGAGAGAAAATGAAAAACCTCTAACCCAGAGTGGGAACCAAAATATATAGCGCCGTTGACGAAAATACTTTACCAAAAAACAAATTTTAAAAAAGTGGGCTTTTCAACAAGGGCTTTTACGGACAAGATATTGTCATGGCGTTTTAGCCCCCTGAATATTGTAGGTTGTTTGCTCAAAAGAAGGCCTACCTAAGGGGGGTCACGGGCACCCAAGGACCCCCCCCCCCTAGCTACGCCCCTGGGGAGTGGACAGAAGCTGCATCCGGTATGGTTTTCGTGCAGGCGCTAACGCTATCCGGTTATGGTGTGAACACTAGTCTGCCACAAAGCCGTTTTTAGTGTCGTCACGCAACGCTCCGTTGGGAGGAGCGTTGCGTGACGACTAAATCGAGTCTGGGGCTTTAGTCCGGATTGTATGAACTGCAGGGCGAGAGTTGTCTGTGTTTTCTGGCTCTAAATCTTTCTTGAGCCTGGTTTTTATGATTTGGAGCAACTTGTAGTCTGAGAAAATGTTTTCAACTCTCTAAAGAAATTCGTAGCGTTTGCAGCTGACGCATGCGTGAGAACGCTTGTCGCAAAAGATAGGTTTACCTGCTATAAAATGATTTAAGTTAAAAGGAATTTTAACTTAAACGCCGAGCGGGTTTAAGTTCTGTAAGTCTTATGCATTTCTGATGCAATATTGGTCATAACTTTTATAACATTTGGTGGCTCCTAAAAGAGCCGTTGGTTTTGGCGGTAAACTCACGCGCTGAGTTTACTTGCTGCTGGTGTACTTGGTCACAGCCTTGGTTCCTTCACTGACGGCATGCTTGGCCAGTTCACCGGGCAGAAGCAACCTGATGGCGGTTTGAATCTCGCGAGAGCTGATGGTTGATTTCTTGTTGTAGTGGGCAAGGCGGGAAGCTTCGGTGGCAATGCGCTCGAAAATGTCGTTCACGAACGAGTTCATGATGCCCATGGCTTTGCTGGAGATACCAGTGTCAGGGTGAACTTGCTTTAACACCTTGTAGATGTAGATAGCATAGCTTTCCTTTCTCTTTCCTCTCCTTTTCTTCTTTTCTCCTGCAGCCTTTGCCTTTCCGGCTCTCTTCTCGCCTTTCTTTCCTGCAACTTTGGGTGCCATGTCTGTACGTAGATCAGAATGGATTTGAAATGCCTGAAGACTCTATGCAACTGATATTTACGGTAAAACAGAGTAAGGATCGATTAGCATACGGATCGAAAATCACTTTCTTTGATTGGCTACTAAACAGGAGTATAGAGCAACCTTTTCAATGCTTATTATAATTAACCACGTGTTGTATGTCAGAAGAGATGAAAACAAAGCTTCTTTCAAATCAAACCAAGAGCCTTGATTGGTGCGTTTCGATCCTACCTACTTGGAAAATGAACTATAAAAATGGCTTTCCGCCAATTTTGAGCTATCATCTCACTAGAGTTTAAGACTTTTGCAAACTTTCAATATGTCTGGTCGCGGTAAAGGAAAAGCAAAGGGCACCAAGTCCAAGAGCCGATCATCCCGAGCAGGGCTTCAATTCCCTGTAGGTCGTATCCACCGTCTTCTTCGCAAAGGCAACTATGCTGAGCGTGTTGGCGCAGGTGCTCCAGTGTACTTGGCCGCCGTGCTTGAGTATTTGAGCGCTGAGATTCTTGAGTTGGCTGGCAACGCTGCTCGCGACAACAAGAAGACAAGAATCATCCCCCGTCACCTTCAGCTGGCCGTCCGTAATGACGAAGAGTTGAACAAGCTTCTCGCCGGTGTCACCATCGCTCAGGGAGGTGTCCTTCCTAACATTCAAGCTGTTCTTCTTCCCAAGAAGACTGAGAAGAAGCCGAAAGCTTAAATCAGCTTTCATTTACACAAACGGCTCCTTTAGGAGCCACCAAATGCTATAAAAGTCATGACCAGTTTCCAGTTAGAACGCAATTCGTGTCTTAGAGTCTAAACTAAGAAAGTGTAATTTACGTCTCGGGAAGATCAATTTTCCGCCGCAAATTTTTCAACCCCCGAACTTTAATTTTTACTGATTTAGCGCATACGCTCTACCGTGCGTATCCTGCAGCAAATTCAAATTTGTTAATACCTTTTGACAGCTAACAGAACCGTATTCAAATGTAAATTTATGAACACTCTTATAATTGAACTCGAGCGTTCAATTTAACCGCGTCTAAGAGAGTGCATTCATTTTCTGTGGTGTTAGTATTAGGAAGGTTGCATACGTACTATAATATTTTTTAAAATGTGTCCAGCCACTACATGTATTATATGGCCAAACAATTAATAAGTTTCTTAATCTTCAAACTGCAGTTGACCGTTATTACTTCAAACGATTTTTGCCGACATTCACATTACTGTGATTCTTCAGATTGTTCTCACAATTTTGAGTTGGAATATAACCTATGTGTTTAGAGATCAGTTTGTGAATCACGCTAAATAAACTCGGCTCATTTCTTATATATAAACTTAGCCAATTTAGCAAATTATCATTAACATAGATTGTTAACATAACCCGGTGCCTAAATGATGAACTTTCATTGCAGCGTGTTTATTTACGCTTTTGAATCGAGCGCGCGAATCATTTCCATGTCTCGGGGCCACGCGATCGTTGCGAGAGAAGACCATTAACACTTAGTACAGTAAATTGGCAACGAGATGAAATCTCGCCTCGGCTTAAGAGTTTTGAGAGATAAAAAAGTAAAATACATTGAAATCACTGTTAATGCGTAAACACCGGATTGCATAGATAATTTTTTTAAGTGGACGCAGCCATCCGTATATGCAGATCTGATATGCCATGAGACCGAACAAGGCGCATTTTTCGCCGCTCAAACATCAAAGACAATAAGTTCCTTAACAATAGAAGTCTGAAATTTGCCAAAGTTTTTGAAAACTTTGCTGAAAATTTGACAGGTTTCGATTTTGATCGCGACTGGATATTAATTCTTGACTTCAAAATCTTTTGCTTCGAAAAAAGCGCGGCCGTTGGCGTTTACTATGATCAAACGGTTTTGCGCTTATGCTACGTCCTTTTTCCACCGAAAAGGAAAGCCGAAAAAAAATAAAGTTGAGGCTAGGCACCGTGAGTACCTCTTAAAATTAGGTACAACAGAGTATTGGTTTATGACTTTCATAAGATATGGTGGCTCCTAAAAGAGCCGTTGGTTTGTTGTGTGGACAGCAACGTCTAACCGCCAAATCCGTACAGTGTGCGTCCCTGGCGTTTGAGAGCGTAGACTACATCCATGGCTGTCACGGTCTTCCTCTTGGCGTGCTCTGTGTACGTCACAGCATCACGGATAACGTTCTCAAGGAAAACTTTGAGAACGCCACGGGTTTCTTCATAGATGAGGCCAGAGATTCGCTTGACACCCCCACGGCGAGCAAGACGACGGATGGCTGGCTTGGTGATACCTTGGATGTTATCACGAAGAATTTTTCTGTGACGCTTGGCGCCTCCTTTCCCTAGACCTTTGCCTCCTTTACCGCGACCAGACATACTGACTTGTGACTCTCTAACTGAGATGATGCTGAAAAAGCTCTTTTCCTGTCCTATATAGCGACAAGGTGGACCTCTCCGAAAACTTAATTAGATTTCTATTGGTCAAATTTTAACAAAAGTAAACCGTTGGGTCCAAAGGGCAATTATATCTTTTTTTAGACTGTATACACACCGGTGTAATATATGCGCATAATCAGTTTAACAGAGTATGGACAGTATTATTTATTTTGCGATGGATAGCAAATTTAGTTCAAAACAACTCAAAATAACAAAAACAGTCATGACTTTGTAGCCACCGTTTATTTCAGTTTTGCGAAAAAAACCTTGCGAAACGTCTCGAAAAACCAACTCAAAATAACATAAACTTTTTGAGAATCAAACTGTCGGCAAAAGTATTACAAAGGACTTTTTCGACCAATCAGAAAGAACATTTTTCTACCAATCAGAATTCGGCCCGCCAGATATAAATTTCTAGGGAATGGAATAAACTAAATTTTATCGATCAAATCATAGATCTTCTGAGAGTAAAAACATGGCTCGTACAAAGCAAACTGCTCGTAAATCAACCGGTGGAAAAGCTCCACGAAAACAGCTCGCCACAAAGGCAGCACGTAAGAGCGCGCCTGCCACTGGAGGAGTCAAGAAACCCCATCGTTACAGGCCTGGTACAGTCGCTCTTCGTGAGATCCGTCGTTACCAGAAATCGACCGAGCTGTTGATCCGCAAGCTGCCCTTCCAGCGTCTTGTGCGAGAAATCGCTCAGGATTTTAAGACCGATCTGCGATTCCAGAGCTCTGCTGTGATGGCTCTTCAAGAGGCCAGCGAGGCTTACCTTGTTGGTCTGTTTGAAGACACCAACTTGTGCGCCATCCACGCCAAGCGTGTCACCATCATGCCCAAGGACATTCAGTTGGCCCGCCGAATCCGCGGAGAACGAGCATAAGAGGATCATATCTTATCAAATCAAACGGCTCTTGTAGGAGCCACCATATTTGCAAAAGCAATGACCACAGTACTTCATTATTCTTAAGCCAATGTGTCAGATGCGTCTCTTCCTCTCATAGTTTTCTTATTACCATTTTATCCATTGCTTAATTGCTTCAATAAGAATCCTCCACATAAACCGGCAAGAGAATTATAAGACTTTATATGCGGCAATAATAAACATCTCGATTCTCCCCTGTTCAGACTAGGAGATAAAAGGATTTTGAGAACAAAAACATGGCGCCAATTTTGCAACGGCCACACTGATTTCCTCTCGTCATGTTTGAGTTTTAAGTTCAAGGGACTTAAACTAAAAAGGCAGTACATTTTATTTTGGCGTCCACGAGCAAGAGTAAAATTCGGTCGACATTTGTTACACTGCGAAGCATGGCGGTTTTTGGTTGGGTGGGCAAAGTAACAAAGGAGGGCCAGGGCAGAGAAACCGCTAGGAGATCGAGCGTTTTTGCGGCTTCGCCACTTAGTAGCTGCTCCCGACAAAACCGGCATGCTACGCAGGCTATAGACATTTGTTAACTGCTAGCCGAATATGATAATATACTGGTAGAGAGAATATTACCCAAGGGTTTGAAAAGATCAGTGACTGTCGCGAAATGAAAGGCTATCGTACCGACCCAGTACTAGACGACAAAGTCATTTTCAGAGAAAAGAGAGACTTTACAATGCAGCTTATTTGCTTCCCCCAGAGTGCCAGATACTGAGGTAACCGGTCAAGTCACTTGGCTATTTTTTGGGTGGGTATGTGCCGCCCGGGACTCCAACTTAGCACCCCGTTCTGGAAAAAATTTCCCCTAAAATTGATACCCCGTTCTAGAAATGGGCCAATTTTTTATACCCCGTTCTAGAATTCGCCCTAAAACTGATACCCCGTTCTAGAAATGGGCCAATTTTTTATACTCCGTTCTAAGGTGCAACAAGAGTACAACGGTTTGCTTGTTAACGCATTGAACCGTATGTTTAAAAGCAATCTGTCCTTGAATAATTTCAAATGTCTGCCTACAAAAGAGGAGCTTTCGTGCGTTCGAAATGTTATACCCCGTTCTAAAAAACGCCTCTGAAATGGATACCCCTTTCTAAATCAGGAGCTTCAAAATCACGACCCCTTTGGGCGGCACATACCCGTATAGGTAATGTATGGGAGTACCCCCCGGGCCCGCAAGTCATTTCGCCCGAAGTTATGCCGCCCAAAACCACAGTCACGTCAAGACAAGACAAGATGATTAAACTCAGCAGCTCAGTTTTACATGACGTAAACGTTAAATTTACATAGGCAACTAAACACAGTCTGAATGTAATATATCTTTTGAGACAAAACTAGAGGGAGGAAAACGCAACCTAAAATTTTCGTGACGATCAAAGTTCCCCATGCAAGATATCCGAACAGATGAATAGTTTTTAGGGCAACTCCAAACTGACCAAACAGGCCTCTAAAGCATAGAGAAAACCATCTGAGATATTTCTGGCGTATTTGGAAACATTCGGTCGTTGGGTGCCCCTGTCTATTTCTTTGCGATCCTGCTAAAAAACGTGTACTGCCGAGCCGGGTGCCAGGGGATCTACGCGCGACAATTGAGCTCGACGCCGGATCCTCATGGGTCTATTTTAAAGAGTTTTCCGACTCCATATCTTTTGATCAAAGCCTTATACAAATCGGCGTTATAAAAACAATTAAACAACCGCCATTTATTTCTTCTTGGGCGCAAAACCCTTCGCGAGGTGGTGCGGAGTCATTGTAAGCCGAACTTGGCCACTGACGAGCCATTTTGCAACGCAAGGATAACGTAAAAGAAATAATTAAATCATTATGAACGTTTTTTCAGGTTTATCATGTTTGCAAGACAAACTAAACATTCCTGGACGGCTTGTGGCCTTGCAATTATTCCCAACCTAGTCCCCAGGGCTTTTCCCTCAAAAAAAGGGAAAAGCCCTGGGGACGAGGTTGAATTATTCCATGGAGATCTATGTATATATAGGAGGACTCACTGACAGATGTTATATCATAAATTATTTAGATGTCTTCGGGTACTCTGCCAAACCACTCGATAAATAAAGTTTTAACTTAATTAAAATTTTTGTTAGTAGAAAAATTGTTTGGCAAACATACAGTCATTTGTAAACCAAAGAACTTATCGATTTGCTCTTCGTTGCTGTTTTTATTGTACACTTTGTTCGCCAAAACGAGGAAAATCGACTCCATTAAAATTTTACTCACGGCTTTGTTGTCGTTTAGAAATGAGAATTAGAAATTAAACATCATGTTCTCAAGATAACTATTTCATAGGGAAACGGTGTCGTATTGGAAATTGCTTTTTCCAAATGAAATTCAGTTACAAGTATGAATGGTCTATAGTCGAAATTAAGTCAGTAACTTTCCCCTCCGGCCGATCGGCTTTTTATGTGTCTCAGAGAGGCTGGGGAGAGCTAGGGAAAAGGCTTAGTAAGGCCTAAATACCAAGAGGAAGCTTCTGCGCAATGGCGAGACATGCAAAATTAACTGAGCCTGTAGCAAATTGAGATTTTTCCAAGTAGTTCAATGTCCTCTTACTTTTTTCTCTTGCTGTATTTTTCAATTAGTGTGCAGATTAGTACGATTATGTTAAATTCTCTTAAACAACAACTTTCTGACAACTGTCCGGAATAACTGGTGGCAGCTTTGATACAAACAGGAGGTGTTTCATTAACATTTAGAACATGCATATTACTAATGGAGTAACATTAAGTATATTCATACTCGAATACGTGCCCACAAAAGAAATAATTTATTTCATGAATTCCTTTTTGCTACTTGTAATTAAAAATGTGCTAAAAACGTCTCCTTTTGTCTTGATTTAAAATTCTCAGTTTTAAAAAAACTCAGTCAGTCCCCAGTCCCTTTGGACCATAATGACAGTCAAGAGTCCTATTATGGCTCTTGTAACAGTATATGCATGCTTTTAAGTCCTTATCAATCTGCGTCAGCCTGTTTTCCAGTCTTGAATAGAGCGTCACCTGCGAGAGAATATTGGCTTAAAAAGTCGTAGTAGGGGGCAAGAAAGGTTTCAGTGCACGTCAGTTTTGAAAAAAAAAATTCCGTTTTTTATTTGATTACTGATGATTAAAGGCTGTTGTGATGTAAGCGTTGTGTAGTAGTTCTGGCTTATACTTCACGTAAGTATAACCATATCAGATTTTTTTGATACATTGTTCACTGAGGATTCAGTACGAGTCATGAAAGATTACTACCTGTGAGGTAATAGTATTACCTTGTATTGTGCAGTGGAAAGAAATTGTTCAGCAGCAACCAAAAAGCATTCTTCCTTTATCTATAAACGGCACCAAGATAGAAAAAGCTTTCACATTAAGAAATCCATCGTCAAAAGCAGAATTGAACAATTAACCTTTTTAAAGAAGTGAATTACAGTATCGGGAAGTATAGAATTAAGTTAGTGAAATTAGCACGACTATATCAATTCGCATAATTAGTGATGATAACTGTGAAAATGATAATTGTAACAGTGTTAACTGTAAAAATCCTAGATTTTTTTGTATACGAAGGCTTTTTAAAGTTCAAGACGACGCTGCAAAGTTACACGAATGACTTTCTCCGCCGTAACGTTAAACGCGACAAAATTTATTTCAGTCGTCGTTCTTTTGTCTATTCTTTTCTTGATTTTTTTTCCGAAAGAACGCCAATATTAGTAGGAATTGTGGCCTAGTTTGAGCTTTCTCATATAGTTTTAACCCTTCTGGTTGGAAATGACCTTCTGGATCGACAATGCATGATGGCACCCTCATCCGAAAAGAAATTATGACCATCTTTTAATTTTATACCAATCACTTTGATTTATAATTCGAAAGGGTTCGTTTATAATTTGCTCCTTTTTCTATTAATTCAGACCTTTGTCAAAAAGGAAATGAATTCAATGACCCCATAGTAACCGTGGTTTTGTTTATACTTCCTGTTTTTACTGCTGTTGAAAATCTAAAAGTTTCGAATAAGGTAATGAATTGCGTTTCTCTGTTGCAATACGCTAGAACAATGAAAGATTCAGAAAAACGTTTGAACAGTCAGTTAAGACCTACCCTAGCAAGACAAAAACTGAAAAGAACAAAGACTCTTTCAGAGTAAATTGAACGCATAGAAATATGGGTTAAATGGACTGAAAACGACAGGAAACTCCTTTTAATGAGTATTTACAAACTTAAACTTCAAATAAATTGCGTGGTGCTAATGATAGCCAGCATTAAAGAAGGTTTATCGTACATATTTCAAAATGATTCATTAACAAAAGCGAAAAAGATTATGTTAAACAGTCAGCTCTGATAGGAAAACACCTTACAATTACGATTCGATTTTGTAAATAGAACTTGCACTTATTTTATACAATGATGCAAAGCAGCTTAACCAATTACATCACATGAGGCTTGATAAAACAATTCTGAGAGTGGCAATTTTACGGGAAAAAGCTTTGTGAATAATTATGAATCGCTAAGGTGATATATTATCAGCTAATACAAATCAGTCAACGGAGTGACTTTGTGTAACATTTTTAAAACAGAGTTTGAATAAATGTGCCGGAACAGCTGAGCAAAGCCGGCAATGAAATGTGGGCCTTTAAAGTTAGGCTTGCACCAAAATGTTATTATTAGTTGGCACCTAGTAATTATGAAATTTAAACTTATATTTAAAATTCATTACGTGACTGTATGAAGAGGGCCTTGAAAAAGCCATTTACACGCAATGGGCATTAAAAATTAATAAAGTGAAAACTGTAAACGTGACTATATGATTCACCTTGTTACTAATTGAAGACAATTATCACGAGTTATTTGTATAAAAAAAAAAATAGGACAATTTCATAATCGAGGTGCATGGGAGGAAAAAAAACCCTTGTCTATGATACTTTTTTTCATCTTTGATTTCTAGTTTCGTTTGTTGTTTGTGAAATTTCCAGTTCTGCAGGGTCTAAACGCGATCTGCAAAACACTGCCATTAATGAACTCCGAAATTGCTTCACTCGCCAGCCATAGAGAAAAGGGTTTGCAATAGCACTGATACAGAGGAGAAAATCGCTAAACTGTAGGCATATAAAAAACCATGTGGTTTCAGTACAACTCTCACAGTTTGCCTCGATAATTGTCGTTACAAGATAGGGGATCTGTGTAATTACCAGAGCAAGGAGAATCAAAAAGGCTGTGAAGGCGAATTCTTTCTCACGTTTTAGGCGCTTTAGATGTTTCTCATCTTGCTGCGTCGTCTCGTCTCCGCCAGGAAAGAGCTTTCTTCTTCTTCGAATAATGAGGTAGATAGCAAAGTAAATAATTCCAGTAGCCGTTAAAGCAAAAGTAACATGCAAATGGACATCCACCGTGTCGTAAATATCATCAGGGACTTCTCCTAACTGAATAAGACTAAAGGCGAGGCAGTACACCCAAGCACATACAACTACGGCGGCAGCGTGAGTGTTCTTGATGGAAAAGCGATAAAAAATTGGACAAGCTACTGCGATAAGCCGGTCAACTGACAAAGAAACGACCAACATGGTAGCTGAGTTATCGATAAAATAGTCCATGACATAATCGAAAGTTGTTTCTCCGTCTTCGTCTTTGACGCAGTAAAACGCTATCTTTGCTGAAATGGGGTCACCAATGGCGCCAAACAGAAAATCGGTGGTAGCTAATCCCGTGATATACACTGCAAATGGTCGCCGGAAGCATTTTAGCGGATCCTTGACTATAACGAACAGCAACAGGCCGTTGACTGTAACCGTAAGAATTGATGCAATTACATATAAGGCTCCTACTGAAGCACAAACGCCGATTCGGACACCGTCCGGGATTGTGGCTGTTTCGTTTTCCATGCCGTCGTGTGACTGACCAAATCGACGCTGTGGAAGTCTTTTATACTGAGACAAAAATGGCACTGTAGGTGTCGGTAACTCGCATAAATCATTTAAAACACTGAGCATAGCTTACCAAATATTGAGTAGGGTACAGACAGCGGCGTCGTATTTGCAAGTTAAACAAATGATTTTTATGCTAGCTGTGAACATTGATTGACAAAAATATCGGCGTTAGATTGATAAAACTGAAAACGCAATTTCGTTTTAGCATTTTTACTTAACTACGTCTCATCAAAATGACATTGATTGAGGTAATTTAAAAATTCATCGAGATGAATGGTTTCTTTTTTATTTGAATTTCCAAATAGGAAATGGAAATTGAGACCTTTTTCTGTAGCTCCCATCCGCCATCATCCGCTTGAGGATTTGTTCGACACCGTGACAATTTTTCTCAAAAGGTAAAGTCGCCGCCCACGCGTTAACTGAGCAGTGAAAGCGATTCAGAAGTTTAGAAGTTGTATGGCTTCTCTATCGAGAATTTTCTAATTAAAATTGTTTTACAATCTATAGGAGCCCTAACCGAGAAATTTGTAACGTGTATCCTAGCTAAATCTGGGCTTACGGAACTATGGCGTAAGCGAAAACAGCAGGCTTTTAAATTTAACTTACCGCAAATAAAAGGTTTCTTATGAAATCACATCACGTCAAAAAATTACCCAGTGTTATATGGGCTTGTTTGAATAAGGTAATGGTATATCTGGCAGATTGTAGGCTTGTGTATAAGATATTTGTTTTTACAAAGGCCACGAGCCATAGTTTTCCACATGAAGAAAAATCGCTTCATGAATTAAGTTTTAAGAGAAAACTGGTTCGGTATTGTATTGAGTAATTGGATTGTTTATAAAGTTTTCTTTCTTTTTTTTTTCGTTGTTTAAAAGTAAAAACGGTAAAAAATTCATCGGAGTAAGATATTATTATTTATTTTTCCTTATGAAAAGTAACAATTACAAAGGGAAAATCTAATTCTGAATTATTTTTGGAGCAATTCAAGGACACAAGGACACATTGAAATTTTAAAATGCTTTATTGAAAGAGACACACAAAATATATTTAAATGCGTTTGTTAATTCGAGCTCGTTCCTCTCACCTGTAGAGATTTCAAGAGATAATATTCCATTTCCTTCTGAAGTAACCGCTTTTTCAATAGTTCTTGCATAACTTATCAATGTCACGGACAGAGCAAACTAAACATGTTATTGCGGGCGGCTTCACACGCTGAATATTGCTAAACTGGATTGATATGTTTAGAAATTAATAAGAGTCTCTCATTTAACTAACGCCTGCACTGAATTTCTAATTTTCAATGTCATTTTTGTGACTGGATTATATTTCATCATTTCACACAACGGAGCCGGTTTTGTAAAACTCCACTATTCTATTCCACGATTTCCTATTCGACCATTCCTGTATTTTTACGAAAGTCAGTTGTCATCTTTTCACTCTCTCGAGATATCGAGCAAAAATACTTCGTTGTGATAAAAAGACTTGGAATATGATCTTTTTTTCACGCCAGGCACGTGTGTTTTGACGTTTAAAAATCTGTTTTTGACTTATCTTTCAACAACCCTGAATTCAATTCTATGGTGAGTCCAACCGGTTGAGACCAGCGAGTCGGAGAGTTTTCAACAAGTTAAAAGCTTTTAAAATCCTATTTACACCTATTTTTAGAATTGGTTTCAAGAAACTTTAAGGCCTGATTTTATCGTAAAAAAATTTAAACGTCATTGGACTTCAAAACTAAATTTTACGAAGACAGCGCTAATTTCGTACCCAGATCTCTTGTAAGACAGCGGACAAGAGAATTTAGAATTGTAGAGAAGCATCAATTTGCTTGCTTGTTTATGTATTTTCTAACGTTCGAATTAGCAAAAGAAGGCAAGAAAATAAAGGCAAGAATTGGAATCAGAAAAAAAAATAAAAATTTTTCCGTGCCCCGTGTGAGGATCGAACTCACGACCTTCAGATTTCTACTGTGGATTATGAGACTGACGCGCTGCCTACTGCGCTAACGAGGCCGGGTTGGTACTTAATGCGAAATTTTTATATCTATATTCCTCACTCTTTTTGGAAACAGAAATGAAATACGATTTTGTGGTTTATGCATACAGCCGACTCTAGTAAAGCTGTTGATTCATTTTTCAAATAATAGAAATGGTAATCTTTAAGCTTAATTTCTTTTCAACTTATTTCATGAATAACGATCCATGCCCCTGAGGGAGCCATTACCCTATTTATTATTCATTCAAAATATTTCTCCGTTTATGATTGGCTAGAATCACACGCATAACTTATCACAACCAGCTATTGTCGACCAAATTTCGAAGAAATTTGCGACATGAGAAAAATGCCGTCAATCGTGCAGCAAATTGCCAGGATTAATGAACCCGCTAACCGAGAAGACCTGGGGACGAGATAGTGACTACAAAATGACGGAACATTTCACTCGTTACACGAGGATCGGAAGAAGTAGGAGAACTATTAGCTACAAACATAGCAAGAACAGCAAGGAGACAACTCGACGGACGACATCTGCTATTAGAGAATATTTGCAGACCTGAACAACCCTTATTTATCTCCTAAATATGCCGATAAACATGCACCCTGAACTCCCGGCTGGCGATAATCCTAAGACAAAAGTACCGGCCAGAGTTCTTGGTGGGGGTGTGCCGCCCGGTTCTCCAAATTCTGACCCTATTTCAGACCAAAAAATGTCATTTTTCACACCTGTTTTCAGACCTGGCCTATAAGCAGAAGCCTCTAAGAAATTACGTCATCATTACTAAGATAAGAACACCAACATAAAAGATTTCTTAAAATTCATTTCGAATTCTCAGATTTCTCCTTTTTTTTCTTAATCATGTAGAAATGTTCATACAGTCCCCCTCGAAAATCATGATATCCGATTCCAGACCAAAATGGGCAAAGTTTATACCCATTTTCAGACCAAATTAACAAAGGAAATAGGAGACGTCTGCACGCAGGCAGGCAAAATTAAACGGTGTAAAAACCCTAGTCTAGCACATACCCATATGGCTTATATGAGGGACTACCCCCGCGCGGATGAACTTTAACATCAATGTAGCCTGCGTAGCAAGCGTTTCCAATCGAGTGAATCGAGTTATTGCGCGAAAGTTAGAGCGGAAGCAAAAAAAAAAAGGTTGAAGGGGGAGGGGGAGGGGAGAAGAGGAAACGCTTGCCCGCAAACTCCACGATTCTGGAAAACGCCCCTTGATATTTCACGCTTCGGTTCATTTGTAAATTGACAGCTCGTCAAAATAGAAACATAACGAACAGATTACCCCTGGATTACCAGATTTGTAAAATTACTTTGTTCTCTAATAGGACACGTTGCAGGCGATTGCAAGAACTGTAATAAAAAAGATTTACGATAAAAGAAAGTTAAAACCATGAGCGATTGATGCGGAATTTCTTGTTTTTTATTGTGTGGCGTTATCTCGTCTGAAACCTTTCGACACGTCAAGAACAATTCCCTCCGTCGGGTATAAGTTTTGCAGAGCGGCTGCTCTTCAGCCTGTGTCGAAACGTTCTCTAAAATAGATGCCGCTAGATTTCCAATAAACAAAAAGAATCTTTTCATTTAAAAAAGCTGACAAATCGCTTGTCCATGGCGGCTTCAGCTAGTGTCGAGTACCGATGTTCTGATTTATGTTGATGTTATCTCCAACAAACAGTCCATTTTTTCCAGTCAGATCGGCACGCTGTGATTCTCAATAGATTGGCCTTCTCTAGTCTCCACTGCTCGATCTCCAATTATACTTTGAAGACTCTGATCTCATAAACCTTCGCAAAAAAACATAGCCTGCGTAGCAAGCGTTTCCAATCGAGTTATTGCGCGAAAGTTAGAACGGAGGTCCCCTCCCCCTCCCCCGTCATTCATTTTTTTTTGCTCTTGTCCCAGTTTTCTAGACGAACCTCGCGAGGAAACGCTTGCTACGCAGGCTAACATCAATGGTGGTAAGCATGTTTTTGTGTTATTTCGCGCGCGGTTTCCACGAAGCTGAGGAACTTAAGACTACGTATTTTCAAGGGAAAAGGCAGGAATTTGTCGGAGAGTGGATGGAGAGGAATGATTTAAATTTGCAAACCGAATGTGCGTATGATAAGTACTCGAATCCAGATTTATTTTTGCAAAAGAAACAAAGAAAAATTTTTTCAGTCTAGTAATCTCGAGTTCCGCAGCTTCGAGCAAAAACCGCGCGCGAGAAATAACACGTTCTACACAAATCAAAGAAAACTTACTTTTGATTTGCCCCACCCCCTTACCCCCGGGACTGAGACCCCTTCAAACTCTCTTGCTTCAAACAATTCCCCACCCCCGGGCCCGAAGGGCTGGACTTGTCCCGGGGCTTGCCCGCGGGGGATGGTGACAGGACCAATTAAACCATGCATAACTGCAAAGCCCCCGCAGGCTAAAAGGCGTTTTCATTCACATGGCCAGCAGCGGTCGAAGCTATGCAAATTTATTTGAGTGAAATGAATTGTTTCATGAGAAAAAGATTCCGCTCTAACAGGACTGGTTTGGGACACCAATATGACCGCCGTTTCCTTGGATTAGGACACCATATGGTGGACATGACATCCATGTGAAAACTCTCTATAGGTTGTTACACCGGCCTTTGGCTCCCCAGTAATCGCCTGTGTTAGTTTTTCTTCCTCGTATTTTCCCTCGTTCAAAAAATTCAAGCGCCACTGATCACAAAACCAGCTTCATTTTAGAAATTGCAAATTGCTTACAGAGTGTATCAGTGTATATAAAACGCCAGTTAAGTGAAAATAAAATGCTTCGTTCAGCCTGCTCATTTCTTAATCATCTTCCAGTTTTATCATAAAAAAAATTTCAGTTTACACAAAGAAAACTTTTGAATTTTCTAATTTAGATAAACAGTTTAGAGGTTGGCAGTCTCTATTAATTATTTCCTAAAGATGTGCTTTGTTGTTCGCGAGTATTCAGCAATTCTCGAATGAAGAACAAAAGGATTAAAAGCAGAACTCAGATACAAACATATCAATGTAACATTATGTAGGGTTACGAACCACTTCCTGTTTTGACACCCTTCGCATGTAACCTCGATGATTCTAACCGCAGAGAACATAAATAAGGAAATCAAGATAGGTAAAAGAATGCTAAAAACGGTATTTAGAAGTTTGTAGACCAAGTGGGAATTCCTCTTTCTCGTTTCGAGGGCGAATAACTGAGCAACGGGAAGACCACTGTTTATCACTGAGACACGAGCTTGGTTTTTGAAATTTCGCAGCCTCACAGCGCAAGAAGCTAAAATTCCACACGAGGGAAGAAAAATAAACAAGGGTAGATAAATAAAGTAAAAGAAAGTCTTGGAAACGGGTAGCAATAAAAGGAGACAGAAAGCAAAGCAGATGGTTCCTGATGCGAAGTTTATGGCTTTGGCACGGTTCAAAGTCAGCCATTTCTTGTTAAGGCGGGGTCGTATTATAGCAATACATCGTTCTCCTGAGATAGCAGACAGAAAAAGTGTGGCAGTTCCGATGTTGAAATTAAGCAACGCTTCTTCCAGGTCGAGCACTGTTGAAGGAATAAAGATTTCCGGGTGTTCTCCACGAAGAATATTCAAAACGCCAATGTAAGGCAAAACTACAATTCCTGCGAAAAAATGCGCCATCGTCAAGGCAATGTTGAAGACATTTGTGGGCTTCTTGAAGCATTTTAAAGGATCTCGTTTGACGACGTAAAGGATATAGCCATTTCCTAGCGACGCAATGACCGCAGTTATAAGGAAAAAAATGCCAGGTATTGTATAAATTTCCCTGTTATGGTTTTTCATTTCGCCGATGGAATCGAACAATAAGGCTTTATAAAGTACAAAAATTTAGGCTATTAAAAAATTTCTTTAACTTTGTCCCTCTGCCAAGATTTCTCATGAATGAGATGAAAAACTGAAATACAGAGTCAATAATCCACTTTTTGTTTTACCAGCTTACTGTTCTCTCGCTGTTGTAAAGAAATTCTATTTTAAGGTTGTCATAAAAATGCAAATATTGCAGATGGCTAAACCCTGTGATAGACAACTCTCATTTTGCGAAAATTAGGAATACATTGAGAATTCCTTTATTTTATTGAAATCTTCCCCAGTGACAGCGGAAAAGATACTATGGAACAAAAGGACCACCACTTCGCGACCGGAAAGATAATGTAGCAATACTATTTTGCCTTTTGAAATATATTAAAAGGGCTAGAACAATATAAGTATCTTGACTACCGAACTGTCAAGGTTTATTAATACAATCCTGATGTAGAATAAAAGCTGAAAATAAACCAGAATTAAATAATATACTTACCACGAAGATAAAATCGAAACAAACCTGTCCTTGAGAACTGTTGTGAATTGTTTTTTTGTTCATCAGAACTCTTCAGATAAAAAACATGGAATAAAAAATTGACTGTTAAGAATTTTAATTCCTTTTTTTGAAAACTTTGCATGTATTTCAATTTTAAGCGTGATACGTGTTTACCTTTAAGTAAACAAGCCCTATTTCAGAAAATCTGCGGGTAAACTTTGACGAACCACATGACCCAAATGCTAGCATGCAACAGCTGAAATCGAGGCGACGCTGTTGTACACACGAAGAGAATTCCCTTCGATTTCCGACAGCTTAGTCGGAGGAATCGGACAACAAACTTACACCAAACATTCAAAATAATACAGTCAAGCGACAAGGGACCTAATCTCGTTCCCAGATCTCTTGTCGAATGGAGGTCTGGGTACGAGTTTACACGTTACCCAGATTCCACAGTGGCGCCAAAAAGCGGATGCATGCGAACGACTTTCACATCTCTCCGGATCGTACTGCACTGCGCTGGAAAATAGAAAAGAGGTCTGTTACAATAGTGCGTACGTGTTCCCTTGTTGAATTTGGTTTTTCTTGAATAAGCGCCACCATCGGCCAAGCGTAGTTGAGCCATAGAAAGTTGACAAGTAAACAAACTCTTGAAATTAAAGAAGCCCTGAGAGATTCGGTGCTTTCCAATTACACAAACCACCCAGTTGAAGTCACGTGCATAAATCAGTTAACGACTAAAATCTCTTCGTTATTTGGGAATGTATGAAATATGTTTGGTATTAGCAAGTTACGGCTGTTGGTATTAGATAAGCAAAATTAAAAGAGTCTCTCTTGGAAAAATGGCAAGGGAGCGAGGTAGAACGAGAGAAGAAATCATCAGTGGATTATCGAGGGATTTGGGCTTTAATTGAAGAAACCGAAAAGAGCCGACGTTAGCCTTCAAGGAATGTGCATAAGAAACATTGCGAGCGAGATAAGCGATGCGCACAAAAGATGCCATGTTCTTACTTGCGCGTTTTAAGGTGGTTTGTCATCATGAATTTCATACAAGTTTCGACATAAACTGTACTCGCTTTCCCCTTTTGTTTTATGAGGCATATGGAGTATTTTGTGCTTAAATAATGCCTGGGACTATACTCTTGGCTACTGCTCGCTCCCTGATTAAGGCCTAGCATAGTTTGCAGAGCAGGCGTACTCTTTTTTAACAAGAGCGCGACCCAATGGTACATTGATCGCGGCCGCCGCAAACACCTGTCTCACTTTCACACCAGTAACGCGTTTTCAATCACCTTGCTAGTATATATATATTAATTCAATGGAACAAAACTTAAAAAGCGCTTACATAAGAAAAGAGTTCAACTCAGGATTGTCTTGGTACAAAAACATGGCAGCCGTTTCATTGTTTTGGAACACCAATATGGCCGCCGTGATGTCATGCGAAAACGCCTTATACCGTAAAATTCCGAAAATAAGCCCCGGGGCTTATATTTTTCAGAGGCCCTTTTTGAGGGGCTTATTTCTGGAGGGGCTTATATTCGGAGGGGCTTATTTACGGAAGGAAATTTGCGTTTGAAAATCGATTGGGCTAGCGTTATAGTTGGAAGGAAGTTTACCTTTTTTTCTTTGTTTTTCTTTGTATTTGAGGACAATTTCCAAGTACAAGCCCCTTGGGGGTGGGGGGGGGGGGCTTATATTTGGAGGGGCGATTTAACGGAGGGTTTTTTGCGTTGCAAGTTTGGAGAACTTATATTTGGAGGGGCTTATTTTCGGAATTTTACGGTATGTCAATGCGTATAGGCGAATCTTTACTGGCGTCATTATACACCTATCAAAGTTAATCTGGAGGAGGGAAAGGAGCCCGGAGATTTTCTTATTCAACCTTATTGTATTCTTCATTTATCTTTGGATGTTAATTTTTCTATTTCCTTTTTTATTTAACCTTATTGTATTGTTATCTCAGTTTACTGCAATCAGTTTTTGTCTTATTTCATTACTTTAAGTTTGTTTTCGTCTTTCCCCCGCCTCGATTAGGCTTTTATGCTATTAGAGGTGAGTAAGTTTATTTTCTGATTTCTTATACCTGTAAATAATTAACTGAGTTTGTATTTACTTTGTATCTGAATTATGTAGACTTAAAATGTTGTTTGTTGGTTTTGTTTTGTATTTTGCGTCAAATGCTCTGCCCCAAGGCCATCATAATTCATTAATTGGTTAAAAGAGAACAAATTCCAACTAAGTCTAGAGATCAAATGTATTTCATTGAAGGAAGCAACATACCAACTTTTTGAGAAAGCTGCCTCCGTTTATTTTTAGATCAACAATTGTCTTGCTCCAGCGAAATGCCAGCATAAAGAGGGAATGTTTTCCCCCTGCACAGTTTAACGAATTTGCAGCTGTTAAACAAGCAAATTTAGTTAAAAGAAGTTTAACTAAGTGGAGTTAAAAGAACCAGAATTCGAGTTATCGGGGTAAATTTCAGTGACTTTTTAATCAAGGGAAAGGAAATTTAGTTCGCGTTAGCGGGGAATTCGAGTCAACCAAGTGAAAAATGACTGGAAGGTGGGGTGAAATCCAAGGGAAATTGGACTTAGTGCGAGTTAGCGGGGGGTTCGAGTTATCTGAGTTCGAGTCATAAAGGTTTTACTTTATTTACAGTTTTGCTCATTAGCATACGACTTAACCCACAAATTCAAAAGTTTATAAAAGAGTTGGTTATTTTGAGCAATTTGTGCAATTTTCCGCGCTTTACAAGCAATAACAAAGGAAATAGCAGCCATCGAAAACTGCGAAATTGCTGGGCGGCTTGTACAATGTACAATTCTTTCTAAAGTTTAGAGTTTTCAAAAATTATTTCCCCGAAACTAGTCGATATATCGGGCTCATATTTGCGCAGATCACTGAATTGTTGAAAGGTAAACAAAGATTCGCCTTTACTCTAACACCCCACGCCGCATATCACTGGCACAATAACTCAACCGTTGGAAACCGATGGAGTATAAATTTCAACCAATTTCATGGTCAAACGCAGAAAAATAAAATTCTCGCATAATCATCATAAATTTCGTCAGCCTTTGATGTTGTTTCAACAGGGACCTGCTTGTCGGTTAGCACGAGAAAAACCCTACTTTTTTCAATTCTCCGTGAACAGTGATTGAATAAATTCCTCTGAAGACGAAAGAGATATTTTCATTTGGACATCTGTTGCGTTGACGTGCATATAGGTATTCATAACGTGACTTATTGTTCGCATTCTCAAACACTGCACACGTACCTGGCTTTCCACGTATTCACTGAGTTCTTCAGTCGAGGTGGGGCTTCTCTCGTATGATCACCATGGATAACGAAACCTCCACAGTCCCTGATACTGTTCGAACAAGAGTCTGTTATTTGTTTGCTGCTTTATATTTACTCGCATCTATTCTAACAGTTACGACAAATGGCCTATTACTGCTCGTTATATTCAAGGATCCACTACAGTGCTTCAGGCGACCATTTGCGGTGTTTATCGCAGGACTTGCAACCACTGATTTTCTGTTTGGTGCAGTCGGTGACACCATTACAGCCAAGAATAAAATTTATTGTGCTATGAACGAAGACGGTGAAACGACTTTTTACTATGTCATGGATTATTTCATCGATAACTCAGCTACCGTGTTGGTTGTTGCTTTGTCAGTTGACAGACTTCTCGCAGTCGCTTTTCCAATTTTTTACCGCTGCACTGTCAGGAATACTCATGCTGCCCTCGTGGTTGTGTGCGCCTGGGTTTATAGTCTTTCGTTTAGTTTAATTCAGCTTACAAACGTTCCTGAGGATATTTACGACACTGTTGACGTCCATTTACATGTGACATTTGCATTAACAACAACGGGAATTATTTACTGCATCATCTACAGGACTATTCGTAAAAGAAGGAAGTTTTTCCTTGGCGCTAACGAAACTGCAACGCGCAGAACTAATCAACGCTTGAAAAGTTTTAAAAGCGAGAAAGAGTCTGCTCTCACGGCCTTCCTCATACTACTTGCTTTGGTTATGACACAAATTCCTTACCTTGCGATGATTGTTCTTCGGGCAAACTGTAAGAGTTGTCTCGTAACCACATGGTATTTCATTTGCCAGGAGTGCGCTGATTTCCTTTTATGCGTAAGTGCTATTGCAAATCCTGTCTTGTATGGCTGGCGAGTCAAACAGTTTCAAAGATCGTTCATGGTGGTTTTCTGCGGAAAAAAGACCCGTAATACAGAGCTTGAAAAGTCACGAGATACTACTTTTGAAAAAACCTTGGAATTAGATTGAATGTGGTACAGACATTGTGTTTTAAAAGCGCAAAAACATTATTTATTCCATGTTAATTTTCTCTCTCCTTTTCTTTTATCTTCAAAAATCTTCACGTGAGTCTCCTAGGAAACCAGTTTTCGTTTTTATTTTCTTTCCATACAGGGATGAAATTTCTTTAGTTGTCTAACAGGAGATCGAAATAATTTTTACGCTTGAGGACGCCGGGCATTAACAAAGTCTTTTTTGGTCAGTTTTTTTTCCTGCTTTTTTCAGTGCAATTCTTGACTAGTAACCACGATGCCGCAAAGGAAACTTGATGCAACCAAAGATGCGACCTAACGGCATTTTTTGAGAAATCACAGCAAACTATGTATTTCAGAAGAATTGCTCTAAGGACTGCAATAACATTTTTGCCAGCTTACATCTGCGACAAAAGTTGCATAAAAAATCCCACATGTAAACGGTGTTAACAGTGCAATGCATGATTCTGCCGAGATATTTTCATTTCTAGAAGGTTGCTCGCATTACTTATCTGCATTAAATTCAGCTATCAAATGAATATAGGAATGTTTCAAAATTAAATCTTTTTATTTGTTTTCCTGATCTTTATATTTTATGACATTTATGCCTGAAAATTGACCCGTAAGAATTGCACCCTTACACAAAGCCAAGGTGCAAGGCTGGCGAGGAAGGGAAGGCGAGAGTTTCATCGTTCTTTCCTTCCCATGGCGTGCCTCGTGCTTTGCTGGGTTCCAGTACCGCGCATTATCTCGCGCTACGCTTGCAAGAGCCTTTTTAGAAAGGGGTAAGAGCTTGCGCCTTTGTTTTCGATCTCAACGCGTCCATGCCTTTCGCTTGTTCATTATGAAAAATGAAACTTGGACAGTTTCTGAGGCTGCAAGAATCGGAACTTGCTCATCGATAGGCGTTTTATTTCTCGTGGCATCAGTTCTTACAGTGACAACAAACGGCCCTTTGTTGTTCGTGATATTCAAGGATCCGCTGAACTGCTTCAGGCGACCGTTCGCGGTGTTAATTGCTGGGTTAGCAGCCACTAATTTCCTTTTCGGAGCAGTTGTTGACACCACCGCCGCAAAGAATGAATACCACTGCGTTCAAGACACCGATGGAAAAAACAAATTTGACTCTGTAGCGGATTATTTCATCGATAATTCAGCAACTTTACTAGTTTTTGCTCTGTCAGTTGATAGGCTCCTCGCTGTTGTTTTTCCATTTTTTTACCGCTGCTCCGTGAAGTCAATCCACGCATGCATAGCGGCTATTGCCATTTGGAGTTTCTCGCTTGCGTTCAGTTTAATTCAGCTAACAGAATTTCCAGAAGATATTTACGACACGATCGATGTCCATCTCCATGTGACACTTGTACTAACAGCAACCGCAATCATTTACTGCGTCATTCATTGGACCATTCGCAAGAGAAGAGTATTTTTCCCTATCGCTTCAAGGGATTCATGTCGCAACTCGGAACAAAGCTGGAGAAATTTGAAACGCGAGAGAGAATTCGCGTTGACCGCTTTTCTGATACTTCTTGCTTTGGTTATCACGCAGATTCCTTACCTTGTGATGATAATAGTTAAAGCAAACTGTGAAAGTTGTCTCGAAACAACTTGGTACTTCGTGGGTTTTAAGGTCTCCAACTTCCTTTTATGCGGAAGTGTTATTGCAAACCCTTTTTTGTACGCCTGGAGAGTAAAGAGGTTTCGAAATTCTTTTATGATTGTCTTCTGCAAATCTCGAATCCGTCACAAAGGACAGGAGATTTCCTTGAGACAATTTGAAAGAAAATCAACAAATTATCGCAAAGAGTAAATTTTTGTGCATATATAAGAACTATGTAGAACGACTTATAATCTGTTCAATCGATAAAAAAAAAAATCTTCAACGATCATATCGATTACAACCTACGATCATTGTGAGATCGACCCACTTAATTTGAGGCCAGTTTCCATATCATTCATGTTTAGTAACCCTTAACGTTAAGCGATCATGTGGTAAGCAATGCAAATCATGTACGCGGTAATCTCCGGACGCTCTTGGGAGTAAACTTTACCAACTTGATTAATTCACTGTCCCATACATTTGCTATGCATGCAAACGCTTTTTGCCTTCAACAACGTATTTCAAGTTTTCTGTTTGCTTCAGTAAAAGAGATAGACATTAAATTAATGAGATCCGCAAATATTTTATTAATTATAACACAATCTGACCAGCTTTGTACTCAATCTCGCTTTTTATTTATGAGTATTACTTGACTGTATAAATAATGCGTGGCGCTGTACGGAAATTGTAACCCTGACTTTTCAAACAAACAAAGAAGTTTGTTTCTCTTTAATATGACTGAGCAAATTCGGTATTTTTTGAGAGACAAAATCTTGTCTAATGGCTTTGGTATCGTTCAATTGCTACCTCAAATTGGATTTCACAAACTACATCCTTTGTTGACTTCATTCTATTATTAAATATTAATGAACAATACATAAGGTCAATTTTCTTCTTCTCGTTTCTTTCTTTTCGTAATTGTTTATGAATTGTTTATGCGCACTCCAACCACTAGGCACGCGATAGGGCCATTTATACGATGAAAAATAAGACGCGAACTTTCCGTGTAAACGGCACGTTTCGTCTAAAATAAGACGCGACTTAGCTACGACGCGTCTTATTTTAGAACGGCCCGTAACACCTGTTCTTAGATAAGACGCGTCTTAGCTAAGACGAGAAAAACTTCGTAGAAATGACCTTCGCGTCTTACAAGAGACGCGGAAAATTTTGCGCTTGCCTCGCGGCGGACTGGCAGGCTACTGGCAGGGAAAAGTTGTTTACCATTTACAACGCGTTTTCGTTTCCTTGGGTTGTCACCTATTCCAAGACTTTTAAGCTTTATTTGTTTCTTCGCTCAAGTATAATGAGCACGCCGACAAAGGTAAAACGAGACACGTGATCCACCGCTGAAGAAAAAGAGAAGACTCCCCCATTTTCATTAAAAAGGTCTTCAAAATATTGCCTCTGCGGCAAATCGCAACATGACGCCGTAACTTTGAAAGGCGCGCCGTGTTGGATTGCCGTTGCTACGGGCAACATTCACATGAAAACGAGTCAAGAACAGAAATAAGAACCGACCCATTTATACGAGCTGTTTTCGTCTTAGGTAAGACATGCTCGTATAATTTTGCTCGTATAATGGTACAGTTCGCGTCTTATTTAAGACACGTCTTATTTTTTCCTCGTATAAATGGCCGTAATGCCTAGTTTCGATACAACCACTGTTACGGCTGAAAAAATTGCCAACAGCGCCTGCTTCTACTGCGAACGTATTAGTTTGAAAAGGAAAAGTAAAACCATTTATCGATCATCTTTTTATTTTACAATCAAGCGTTAACATATTCATAAACGTTTCTCGCTATTATATATAAATTCAACACATACACAAGCCGTGTATCTACTAAAAAATGTAACATCTAACCATTTTCAATTATTCAATTATGGTTTCAGTTATTGGAAAAAAGATGTACTTTTTTAAAATTTATTTACAACGTTACCTTTGAGATTAAAATGTCTCTTCAATGAACGTTTCTTAAATTTAAGTTTGCATACTTTGTGCCACTGAATTATGATCACTTGTTTCTCGTAAAATAATTTAGTTGTTTTCTTTTTCTTTCTTAAGCTATCAAGTAGTTTATAACAATTGCTGATAAAACTCCTGAATCCTTAACTCTCAAGCGAACGTTAATGCTAATAGTCTCCCTCGTAGCCTTTTTTGTCTCGTCGCGCAAAGGTCCTCCGACTATGAGAATGCTAAGTGTTAATAAACAAAATCGTTTCCTCAGACACTGGATCAAAGTTTTTGCTTTACCAAACAATAATTTTCATTTACTGGAAACGTTAAATGTTATCTCTGTTCAATCAGGGACGGACTCGAAGGGACCCATTTGTTCATGGCCGGTTGGATAGCTCGACATTTCCACCCGATAAATCACTATCCAGTCGATGACTAGACAAAACAAGAACAGTGTCTTATCCAGGGGATAGACTACATACATTTTGAACAACTGGAGTTTGATTTCGTTTATCCACCTTTCTGACAGGAGATGCTAAATGTGGTCATTTAAATGAAAAATATATATATATAAGCGTTGTTATTGTTTTTCCTGAGGGTTCTATTTGATTTCTGTGCTTTGATGTGCTACAGCTAACTTTTTGGGAAGATGAATTTTTTATTCTATACCCCACATCACCCATCCGGCTCCCTAACACTCTTCGATTTAGGCTCCATCCTCTGTAAGCCTTTTAAAAACCGGTTATGAAGTTGTATAAGCTCAGAGCTTACAACCGCAGTTTACGGTCTCATGCAGTTTACTTTTGTTCATTGTTGTTTGTTATTGTTTACTGGCAAGTGCTCTTTAGGCTAGCTTCCTTGTATTCTCCATAAGACATTCGATGAACAGGCGAAGGCAAATCGCTAACAAGTTGATTTCTTATCACATCGGCGATGGAAGAGTAAGGAAGCACTTTGGAAAAGAACAAAAATTCCAAGTCCTTTGCGTTAACCGCGCGAAGTCCCATCAACTTGAGAAGAATTTTGCCGAAGCGAAACGTTTCGTCTGGAAAACGGGTTTTGCAGTAACGTTCCATAGCGGATAAAACGACTTCCTGGCTTGTTTCTGCATCTGGCAAGCAGCCGGCTTCTACGCTGTCTATGGACAAAAAGAACCACGTAGAGTTAGTATGGCGTCCATTCTTCAACTCTACTCAGATCACATCTTTCCTAATTTTTGCGGAGGGTTTTAGTGAAACACAGTGATTTGGCATCGTGTCAAAAGCGAGGGATTATGGAACTCGAAGCAGGTACGTATAGATACGTTAAAATTTTGACTCGTTTCTGGGAAACTGCCCACCTACCCCTCCCCTAAACCAACATTTTGCCCTAAGAGAGAAGTAAGTGTTAATGTTGGCTTAGGGGAGGGGTAGACGTATAATGATCCAAAATTTCTGAGGGCCATAAGTATATATTATATTTGTCCGAGGTCGTAGCTCAAACAGAAAAGAGAGAAGACAAGAAAAGGGAAGGAAAAAGCCCAGAATATAAATTTCAGAAACTTTCGTTTCAGGTTGATTTGGCTTACACTCCTCACCTGAAGAAAACAACACCATGACTCTAAGACATGCGTACTCAGCTTCCTCCAAACCACGCAGGCGCAGCAGACATTCATGGAAATTGGCCAGCGTCTGCTTGAGTCGTAGTTTGCGTTCGGTACACATTCCCGTGCAAGTGTCAATCTCGTAGGCTAACGCTACGGAATCGATTTGCAAATCATACTGGGCCGCGATTAAAATGAACAGGTCGCTCCAACAACAGCGTAACATGCTGTATTGTTCGCAGATATCAAGATTAGCAAACATCGGCACGTGCTGAACCCATTTTAAGGCCGCAGTGAAGAGTGTCCACACCTTGTGACTTGGACTGGACTTCATGCTAGGGGAGTTAGGAGCAGCAGTTATTGCAGCTCTGGTGCTTCGTTCCAGCTGCGTCAGCAGTGTTATCAAGTCATATTGCGAGGTGAACGACTTGGACGACCTCGATAGGTAGGAGTATTTTGTGGGTCTCCCTCTTCTGATGGCTGAAATAAATAAGAATATTGAGCATAAAAAATAAATGAAGCCATGAATAGTGAAAAGAAATACTGAGCTAAAATATTAGGGACGGCCTATAGCTGTAAGATGCGAGGACGGCAACGGCAGGGAAACTGTCGCTTAAAAAGTGAGTTCGCGGATTCTCAATCTTCATCGTGGTTATTCCAACTAGCTTATCTTGTCAAACGTATGCGAAATCTCCTGGAGTTGAATTCCTAAGAACCTCATCCAAGTTCAGAAAGAGAAAGAAAATTTCGTTGTTGCTTCTCTACGTTCTCCATAAGACATGGAATTAGGCAGTTTCACGTCGTAGTCTTGCAAAAACGGCAGAGAAATGTACAAAAAAATGTGCTGAACAAGCAAAGTTGTTATTTCGCTTATCAAACCTATTGCTTTTTTGACGTTCTTGTTGCCGTCGCCGTCGTCGTCGTCGATCTTAAGGTCCCTATGTACTGCGAGTATAAGAGTGCAAGACACTCGCTTGTAATTCCTGATCGCTTCAACGCGTTTCCGTTTTTTTTTTTTTTTGCCCATATTCTCATTCTTCAAGATGACAATAGGAAAAAGGCTTTGTCGTTTGTTAACACCCTTTTACCAAATTTTGGCCAACTCAGGCAATGCAGGGAAAAATATCGCAATAAGATAAAATTGCGTGCCCCCCTTTTGTTGCCATGACATGCAAAAGAGAGTTGAAAAAAAAAAATGACGGTAGATTTTTCATGCATGTGATAAAATCCTATTTCTAGAATTTCGCGTTTAAAACTTTGTCAATAAGGGTATATTTAAGGAAGATCACCACTGTATCTGAGTATAAAAATTTCGAACTAGGAAGAGAAAGCCAAAAAACGGCCCAATTTGTATTGGTTAGAGAGAGAGAAGAATTTTTTTAAAAGATGACATAAAATTATGAAAAACAACCACCAAAACTGAAGGTGCTACTGTTTCTGAGATACAATATGGTTTGTTACGATTACAAAAATGAAAAGAAAGAAAAACATTTAACGCGCCCAGTTAGGGTCATTTTCACAAGTAAAAAGTGGCAAAAGTGCACAGTCATGGCATAGAGTTGCAAAGCATACTTCGAACGCAGTTTTACCTAAATTTATATTTTTTAAAGCTATAGCTTGTCATAACACCGAATTGATGTCCACCTTTCCAGTGTCATTTACTCCTAAGATGACAAATCTTTATACTATCTAACGGTAGCACTTATGTCATGGCACAGATAACAGGGGTAATACACAAAGGATCTCTTATGTAAGGTAATGTAAATTCCAATGCTAAGTATAGTTAAAAACATACCATCTCTTCTCATGCCAACTCCAACGCACTTCTGGAATCTGCAGTGCTGACATTGTGTTCGATTCTGGCGATCGATGCGGCAGTTCCCAGAGGATTCACAGCTGTAAGACAACTTGTACCGCACCGTTCGGTTGAAAAAGCATTTGCAGCCTTCGCATGTAAAAACGCCATAGTGTCTACCGGACGACGGCGCGTTGCAAACCGCGCAATCGATCGTCTTTTCTGGGTTATCGTACCAATAAACTTCATGAAGCTGTGACCACGACATTTTTTTTTTCTAGGTTTGGAGAACTATATCCCTGTGTGCCCGACCGTTAACACTGCTCACCCGCCCCGATTCCGCCGCGAGATAAGTGTGACATAAACCTTAATAAATGTTTCATAGTCTTCTCCGGCCGTCTTATTGGAGGTTTTAAGCGTGGAATTAACCGGTATGGAACAAAGGTATCGCAAGGTGTGAAAGTGAAAAAGGGCATTGTCCCACTAAAATTACTGACAAAATCTGGAATGTTCCCTGCATTCCGTTAAATAAACTTAACTTCTGCAAGTTGTTTCCCCCAATGTTTACTTTCCTTTCCTGCTCCTGTTGAGTAGACAATCGGTTGTTTTCCAAATTTTTAATGCGATACATGTCGTTCTAATTTACTTGTCACAGGAATAATTAATTCATGCATGTTACAAGGTACGTGTCAGTCACCTACTGTCAAATGGAAGGAGGCTTTGTTTCCAGGGATAAAAAACACACAAAGAAAAAGTAATCCTATTTTTTTTCTCGTAACTTCTGTCTCTATCCGTATAACATGTTTGTGAATAACTCCTCGGCAAATGTGAAAAAATGTTACAGCCGACTTCTGTCAGAAATGAACAGGCACCTAAAATGCATTTCATGGTTCCCTTTCAAATTTCGATCTATTTCTTGCTAATCCTTTACTAAATGAAAAATTTCCACAATAGGTCATTTAAAGCGAGGTCCCTCTATTATTTCATACATTTTCAGTCGGGAAGTATCAACTTTTATTAGCCCTTAAGTAAATATAAAAAATAAATAAATGAAAAAACAAACAAATGAAAAAACAAACAAACAAATATCCAACAGGAATAGACCACTAAAACTGCAACTCGTTATTATAGTTTAAAAGCTGGTATGTCTCCAATAAGGCAAAAAGTTCTGTTCAAACCGATTTATTCTACTACTGATAACAGGCCTGTCACGTCGCCAACTGAGGAAAGTGAGTTTGGGAGTAAGAACGCCCTTTTCCTGAACAAAGGTTTTCAGATTTGCTGGCAAATTTCTTTTGATCATTATTATTAAATGCCTCGTGCCATTGATGACCAGTTACCACTGCTTTTATTCAAATGATTCAGTTTAGGAAAAAGATCGCAAAACGTCCGTCTAGAACAGGGTAATTTGGCCAAACACTTGACGACTGGTGTTGTACCAGGAACACAAGAGTTAATCGCGCGATGAATTCACCACCGGTAAAAACCATTGTTTCAAGTAAAGATTTCCAAAGGATTTCTCTAAACAATAGCATAATCGGCCTGTGGTAGTGCAATCACCGTTTTTGAATCCACGTGTCTGGTTTCATTTAACTGAACTGAAGACGAAAAGTGTTTGGAAAAACATGTTGTAAATCGAGCTCAATGGCTTAAAATTCAAGTAAAACGTTTAAAAAAAAATAAACGGAAAACTTCAACGTTTAAAGTCCCCCCCGCCCCTACAAGCCTACAAGCGGGAGTAAAGTATTGCGCCAGAAAATCCCTTTTCGACAAGTATCTTTTTAATGGTCACACTCCGAGACTTACTCCAAAGACTTCAAAACAATAGCCACGTGGACCGAGATGGGTTTGGTTCGGGTATTACACGAAAGATTTAGAAACATGGAAAAGAGTAAGTTGGAAAAAAAAGGAGCAGAAGAGAAAGTCTTATTTTACATCGCTCTGAGAAAAAGATAAAACGAAAATGTCAAAGGTGTGATAACATTTCTAACCTACCATTAAATTTTCCCAATACACTATGAATATTTTATGTGAACATCAAAATCCATTTGATGCCTTTCCATAGCTCTTGCATCACATGGTTTTGGAACTACTTTAAAGTTATTGATTCAAAGACGTCTTTTTTTCATTTTAACCTTGTCTTGACCTTCGAGTATCTTTCTGTCCGAGGCGCGCGCTTTATTGTATAGGATTTGTTCCCGTAAGCCAAGGTGGTGAAGATACCAGCCCCATGCATACCAAACCAGAATGTTTCATCAATGCAGACGTCAAACAAAATTCACCCTGCCAATTCCTAACGCACTGAAAATGAAAATCCAAGAAGTTATATTCTAAATATTAGGCAAAGCGTTGAAATACAAATGACAATAGAAAGGTATATCCTAGAAAGTTGATTTGTCTGGAAATTTTAATATCCACAGATTCAAAAGTTAGAACCACCCAACGTACTATTGCACTTGGCTGTCAAGTTGAATGGTGTTTTTGTCGAAAGAACCTCTAGCGTCCGTTTCTCTTTTTCAAGGATACATTTTAGAGAAGTTATATAAAGCCTGAGAGTCAGAGAAAGCCTACTGTGCATCTCGCGAACAAACATAGCTTTCATTCTTTCACGTAACCTGGCCATGAAAGGCAGTCAGTGCAATTTAGTGCCAGTCACGTTGGAACTGCCATCATTGCTAGATAGCTTGTCTTGTCGGCTTCTCAAGTAATTATTTCTGAGATGTGAAGATAATTAACCCAGGTTAGATATTGTGGTTTGGGCATCAAGTCATGAAAAGCGCTTCACCCTTTAAGTCCCAATGGTGACCAACATCAATTGTCTCCTAGCGATATCCATACATTGTCAAGAGATTAGGTTATGAGAATTCATAAAATGATCACCAAAGAGAAAATCCCTTGATCGTTTATGAAATTCTCTCAACTAATTCTTTAAGAAAAGTATAGACATCAGTTTGGAGAATTTGTATGTGGATATTGGCGCTTAAAGGGTTAACGCACTTACAATCGGCTGATTTACACTTCTTCTCCAGCTGTTTTTTTGTATACGCGTCTTACCTATTGCATGTTAACAACTGACTAGGAGGGTGGTTGGAAATCGAAATTTCAAGTTAGAGATTTGCAAGCACCGAATAATTCACGTTAATGGCGGCACTGCTACCAAAATTCAGCACTTAAGAACTTTCTAATTTTTGGGCCGGAAAGCAGTGGAGTCAACGCGAGCAGGTAGAAGAAATATTATGAACACCCTTTGTTAATACTGTATCATTTTAGTTTGACTATCTATGACAGTACATTTTTTGTTGTGACTAGTGCTGCTTTTACGCCAACAAAACTTTTAGATTAGGCAGTTTAGTTTTAACAAAACAAAGCCTGAAAAAAATTGATACATAGACACTAATTCTAGAAACACTATTCACGCAAACAGACAAGACTTAACGTTACTACCAATTCCTCTATTGAATTAGATTGTCCTTGTTGAATTTGCTTTTAAATGCAAATTATATTGATTTCAAACAAATGTGTTGATTTGTTTTAAATACAAAGTTCCATGGCATCGTATCATGGCAATAACAAGGATGGGTCAGTAGGCGCGAACGTTCCACAGTTAATAACGAAGCACTATGATCCAATCGCCCGTCTGATAGCTTGTAACATCCAACTATGATTTATTTAAAATAACATTAGAGCAGATGCAAACAAAGGATCCAGCTGCTTAACAGCGTTTAGAGATTTAACTGCATTACGGATATTAACTTGAAAAGTATCGATCATCGAGAAGATGTTTCCTTCTTTCAATAACAAGCCTGCGTGGACTGAAGAAGACGAAGTTCACCTTTAATGGCTATATTAACGCCTTTTCCATCACTCCACTTTGCAAACCCATAATTATTCCCTTAAAATGCCTCGTGCCTTTCATAATGGCTTTCTTCTCGGGGTGAAGGGTCATTCGATGCCAGTGTGGAATGCGAATACTTCACTCACACCTCTTGGTGTGGTCATACGAAAAGTATTCTATTCTTGAATGTGCCACCCGAAAAACAACTAATTGTTTTCACTGCCTGGATAATAATTTAAAGAAAAGCTTCCACCTACAGTAACTCAAACCTTTCATTAACCGCGCGGACTCAAAATTTCTCTGTAAAACCGCGCAAACAGGTGCAATTTCATACAGTGAAGTAAGAACCATTGAGATTCACTACCCAGAGAACAGAACAAACCAAAAGAACGAAAATCATAGATATTGACAAACTATCCGACTTAACAAGTGCAACCGCGTACAATTAAGTCTAAACAACTAAGATTCTCTACCCAGAAAACAATAACACAGCGAAAACCAATGAAAGTTTTTCACAACCAAATCGAATTAACATGTCACGAGGTATTTTTGATTTGTCTCTCTATGAACTTTTTGTAAGACGGCTTTTTATTTGTCAGAACTGAGCAGCCAGACTATACCCCAGGTCTGTCAGTCCTAAATAGTGTACTCGAGGGAGATAGTTTTTCAGCAAAAAATCTTTGAAAAAGAGTCTTTCATTGTCAATATGACTGGCCTGGCCATGGTCCGGCAGGCCAGTCGCCGGTTCAGACTTTTGTCAAGCGCCCTAAGAAACGGCCTAAAAACCGAAAGTCTCAAAGAATTGTCCTATGTGATAAACAATAGGGCCATTTATACGAGGAAAAATAAGACGCGTCTTACATAAGACGCGAACTGTACCATTTATACGAGCATGTCTTTATACGAGCATGTCTTATCTAATCAGACGAGCATGCCTTATCTAATCAGACGCGTCTTAGCTAAGCCGCGTCTTATTTTAGACGAAATGTGCCGTTTATATGGAAAGTTCGCGTCTTATTTAAGACGCGTCTTATGTAAGACGCGTCTTATTTTTCCTCGTATAAATGGCCCTAATGTCTTCTATAAACGGAAGTACTTAAAAGGATTTAAGTCCAGAGCATTGCAAACCACTTGAATTGAACGTTTCGAAGCACTTCTGGCCACCTGTTCCCTGGATCCTGACCTAGTCTTGTGTTTTGTGCAAACGTGAATTGAATATGTTTATGTGCACAAACAACTGACACACAGGCACAGTATACTGACTATACTAGGGAGCTTTTAAGAAACGACCACGGCGACCCTGACGGCAACAAGAACGGCCAAAAAGCAATAATAAAGTTTAGATTAACAAAACATCTCTGCACGTGCATGGCGCTTTTTTGAACATTTCTTTGACGTTTTTACCCGACTGCGACGTGAAACTGCTTAATTTC